CTCTTGCTGTCCAAGCAAAAGGACCTTAGTTGAGGTTGCTAGACTCCAGTCTAAAACCACTCTAACTCCAATAAACCAGTCAGACAGCCTGTCTCAAAAAATAAAGTGGAAACCAAACACCATCCTCTGGAATGCAAATGTGCACCCACAGGAACACTTACACATGCATATACCACAAAAAGTAAACAAGCCTTTTACTACCCCACACTAAGATAATCACATAAGATATGTTAGAAGGACCCACCCTTTGATATGTTCATCAAGTCCAGCAAACTGGCCTAAATGAACCTGAGATTCTATAGTCTAAAATGAGTTCACAAGTACCTTAGACATTTCTGTAACAACTGGGAGTTTCTTATGAGTTGCAAGACTCACAGTCATCTAAACTTTTCAGAGAGAGGGGTCACAGAGATGAAGTTCAGTGGTAACTAAGTTGAAAACTAAAGCACTAGACTGAGGCTTTGGCTCAGAGCCCTATCACCTGCCTACCACGAACAAGCCCCTGGGTTTAATTCCCAGTACCATACACAGCAAACACAACTAAAGCCCTACACAGACTGGTTAAAACAAGCCATGCAAACCTGAAGCAAACAAAAAGTCTGGTGTCAAACTAACCACACCCAAAACACCACAGACAGAATGAAAACATGAACTGAGCAAAGACAACCAAACACACAAGACCAAGTACCTAAATGATATAAAATACTGTTAGGACATAGAAAGTCAAGAATCTTACCAGTTTCAAGGGTTTAGAAACAAATATGCTGTCTCAAATAACCACGAAGTAAAAGCCACATATGCATAGCAGACGGCAGGAATAAAGCAACAGATCAAATCCACAGAAGGTATGGGGTCAGTTTCATGTTCCATAGTGCAATCCAAAATGCACCTGTCCTAGCACCTTTTGGTTTCAGTAAACATCCCAGGACATGTATAAAAATGATTACACTATCTTACAGACACCAAGTCATCAACAGAAGAATAAAACACTGACATGCATGTAACCAGATATGAGAGAAGAAAACTTAATCAACTATAGCTATGGATCAACATGAAAGAACTTCAGAATACTGAACTAAAGGCATAAAGTCACAACACATTCATTTCTATTAACTGTAATTACTTGGGGGAAAAGGCTGTGACAAAGCAGGGACAGATGACCACTACCTGATCCCACAGGAGGTGGAGCAGCAGTGGGGACTTCCAAAGTGGTGGGACTAAGCCACCTACCCAGTAGCTTCCCAAGTGCTTCACATATGGTCTATTATATGCATTACATAGTTTTACATTTTCAAAAGCCAGGAGCATCGGGTGACTTGGTCCTTTGTCTCAACTTACCAAAACTTACACTAATGCATTCAAAGCACATTAAAAGTAAGATTACCATGCGCCCAACTAAAAGGGCAGGAAGGTAGGAATGAAAAGGTAGGAAGCTGCCAATTTCATTCCCAGTGTGGGGTCGGTCTTTAGGTTACCTTTTGTACAGATTACAGCATAGTGTTCATGGATGTTTTAATACTATACAGACACAGCTTAATGATAATGGGAGCAGTAGTATATTGTCTACAACTAGTTGAGCTACTTACCAGAGATTAGTAACACATACATCAAATGTATTTGTACCTAAGGAAATAGAGATTAACAACCTAAACTTTACACTAGCTATATAAACTCAGTAAGTACTGACTGTTGCTTTTTTCCCCCCCTTTTTGGTTTTTTGAGACAGGGTTTCTCTGTGTAGCTTTGCAGTCTGTCTTGGAACTAGCTCTTGTAGACCAGGCTGGTCTTGAACTCACAGAGATACACCTGTCTCTGCCTCCCAAGTGCTGGCATTAAAGGCGTCTGCCACCACCGCCTAGCCTGTTGCTTCTTTCTTACAGAGACACGGTCTCACCATCTAGCCCAGGCTGACCACAAACTCACGATTCTTCCTGGCTCTCCCAAATGCTGGAATACGGTATATGCCACCTGTCTGGCTCTAATACTGTTTCTTAATATATAAAAAAATGCTTTATATTAAACAAATTAAGTCTTTAGAAACCTTCACACTAAATACTATTATTGTGCCAACTTCTGCTGCAGGACATGGAGCACACAGAACAGACAGGGTCAGGACCTGGCTTCTAGGCAAGTTGCATATGGTGCATGCCTATAACCCCAGCATGTGGAAGGCCAAAGCAAGGACACTATAAGAATAAAGCCAGGCTGAGATACAGATAGCAAGACTGTAAGGGAAAAATAAAAACTCTATTACATGTTTATTCTAGCCTGTCACAGGACTAGGAAAGAAAGTTAACTTCACGATTGTTCTTAGTTGAGAGAACCACCCTGTGAATGATCAAGAGTCTATAAAGGAAAGGGAAATCCATTATCTGGAGTACACAGACATGCAATCCCAATTCCATACTTGGAAGTTTTTGCCTATGTGCATGGAGGCAGGGAAGGAGGTAGGGAGGGAGGTTGGTTAGGTAAGGGGTACCTAAGAAAGGTTCCAGGATGGAGTACCACTCAGCAGACTGCTTGTCTAGGTCAATCCTCAGCTTCACACACCACCAAAACTACATTAACAACAGCTACTGCTGAAAGACATTCAATTCTGATCATAAACATTGAAGGGAAGGACAATTCTGAAATTATATTTATTAATGTTTTATTATACATAATGTATTCTATTAGAGCTGAGGAAAAGGAGACCAACCCCCCCCCACGCCCACCAGTGAGATAACAAACTTACTGTCTTTTACAAAATCTAATTAGAACTGACAATGTTATGGTTAGCTCTTAATTCCTGAGAATTGGAACATCATTAAGTTTTCTGTGAATTTACAACAAAACACTCATGTTAATATTTAAGTTACAGTATTCGTGAAAAAATAGTTAGCAAGGAAAAGCATCATCCAATGTATACATTAACTCAAGCATGAATACACTGAAGCCCTGTTGCTCTGTCTGCAGTTTAACACCATTTAAATCTCTTCAGAGATTTTATTTCAAATACACAAACTTATTATAATTTACCCAGACTGTAGTGACATTACTTCTAACTAAAGGTAAAACAATTATCTGTCACTTCCTTCCCAATTTTAAGTGTCCAGGGGGTCAGTATGTGAACACTTTTTAAAAAAGAAAATACTGGTACTATAAAATGGTGACTAATCTGATATAATCAAATCCAGTATCATTAATATAAACATTTATAATAATGAAAATATAAATTATTAATTATGCAGCATGCTTTAGGGCCATCTCTACAGTTAGTATCAATTACAAACATTAAATGCCTTTAATCCATCCTTTGTTCATAATTCTCTAAGCCACGTTTATATAATAAAAAACATTTCCAATCTATTCTGGTTCTTCTGACCTAACAGTCATAGTATTTAGCTTGGGCTGGGAAAGTTACCAAGCCTAACCAGTAAGTCCAGGCACAGCCCTATATCTCCACTCCAAAAGCTGGAACTAAGGAACAATGTCAGAATTCTAAGTGTTAGGATTATTTGCAAGTTTTATCCAAAGAAATGGTTAAGCAGGCAAATGTAATAGAAAAACAAGCATTTCCAAAAAATGTCTGCATTACATTTAAAGTTTTAAACCATTCTTTTCATCCAAAAGGCATCATATTATTAAACGTTCAAAAAGGCCATGATTAATCCACTTAACTATTTACTAGCATACTTTACAAAAATAAAGCTAGTAGCTTGTTGGGAACTAATTTACTCACAATCTTTCGTTCTTTTAAAATCAGAAAGTGACTTACTAGGCTCATTCTCACAGTGGTAAATTAAGCCTGCCATAGTGCAGTTATTATTTAATCATATGTCTTAGATTATACTGGATTTAAAGTAAAAAAAAAATCTGTCTAAACTGCCACCAAAATTTCAACCTAATGTAATGAAGAAACCTGAGTTTGGATGTAGGATAATTCATTCTTTTTTCCCCCAGTATCACAGAATGCTTTCAGACTTAGTGAAGCTTCAAGTGGGAGTCTATGGCTTAATCTGAGTTTTCTTTGAAGATTAAGTAAATCTTAAATTTAAAGCAACTGTTGAAGGATAAATGTTCCCAAAACAATGTAAACTATTATAAAATGTCTCATCAAAGACATCAGCAGCTCATGTGAGTCATACAGAATTGAACAACACAGGAAGGATCACCAGTTAGCCACACTGCACAGACGGTCACCCCGCCTCACCTCTAGCATCAATGCAGACTCACAGTCTTTGATATAGATGTTTCATAAATTTCAAGCTCAACTCTTTTTAAATCGAGTATTTACTGGCTGTGTACACAGTATATGCACTGACTTTCCCATGATTTGAGATGAACATGGATCACAGACACACCCAAATGACAAGCACACAGAACACAGGACACCGGGAGCAATGGGGACCTGGGCACATAACACAGGACATGGGGAGCAATGGGAATCTGGACTTTCCCTTCCAGAGCTTCATGTAAAGAGTCTTGCAGGGGCATCTTCAGCCTACACTCCAGACAAAGATCCAATTTTAATATCTGCTTCTCAGCCCTTGATAACTAGAGCATTAGAAATAAAATGGGCTTGACTCTAGAGTACTGCCATACAGAACTTTCCATGATGTGACCCAGGAAATGACAATTTATCAAGCAGTCTATATCATCCATGTCACTGGAAAAGTATGACAATTCTGATGATTTCATACCATCATTTCACAACAGGATCCGTAGACACAGAGCCCTCAGGTACATCTCCACTGCTTGTTTTAGTTTCCTCTGAAAGAGTGCAAATATCAATGGAAATATTTGTCAATTTTTAAAAAAATAAATACAATTTGAAAAAACCTATACTACTAAGTATCAATTTATAGAGTTTCATCCAATGAAGTATTTTTCTAACATCACAAATTATACTACCTTGTTTAAATGTTAAGAACTCTTCCTTCCGTCCAGCTGATCCAGTCAAGAAACCACCATTGTGATATACTGCCATTACAGATGAAAACACAGCTGGATGTGTGTTTCACAAATCCAGATGAGTAACTGCCATCAGCAAAGAGTATTCATTTTACTTAGTTTGTGTGTATGGTATGGATGTATGTGCACATGTGTGTATGTGCATATGTACATACACTCATACATGGAAACCAGATGATGGACATTGAGTATCTGCCTCTATCATTTTCCTCATTTTAAAAAAAATTTAATTAATTTTTTTTTCTTTTGTGCATGGGTATTTTGCCTAGACGTATGTGTGGTGCCCAAGGAGGCTAGAAGGTGTCAGATCCCCTAGAACTGGAGTTATAGATGGTTGTGAACTGCCATGTAGATCCTCTTAAGTGAACCCAAACCCAGGTCATCTGAAAGAGGCCCAGTTCTCTTAACTGTAGAGACATTTCCTCAGCCCCATGTTTTTTGACACAGGGTCTCTATAACAGAAACCAGGACTTTCTGTTTGGCTAGACTGGCTGGCCAGTGAGCCCCCATGGGTGAGCTGGGTTTGCAGACACCTGCCACCATGTCTGGCTTTTACATGTATGCTGGAGATTTGAACCCAGGTTCTCTAAATCTTTTCTCTACTTAACAGTCCCCAGCCCCTTATTTTACTTTTTGAGACTTTGTAGGCCAGACTGCTCTAGAGTTTATGTAGCCCACAGTAGCCCTTTCTGCCTCACCCTCCCAAATATTAAGATTATAGGCATGAGCCATTGTCCCAGCTCATTATTTATTTATTTTATTTTTATTTTTTATTTTTTTTGTTTTTTTGATACAAGGTTTTTCTGAAACTCTTGGTAGACCAGGCTGGCCTCTGCCTCTCAAGTGCTGAAATTAAATGTGTGTGCCACCACTGCAGCCTTTTATTGTTTGTGCCATGATATTGGCACTTTGTGCAAAATATGCGTTATCACATATTGTATGCCAACAGGTGACTTAACAAAGCAGCTCTCATCATGGAGCCACCTGCAGCTCAACATAGTCATAATGAGAAGACTGGCTAGGCCTGTGAGTCACATCACCAGACAGTGCCTGACAGTGCCTGAAGAATGAGACACAGCAAGGAGCTCCACAGAATGAACCTGAAGGTCAGGCTGGCTATGGCTGTCTTCAGGCTCAGGCCTTAGAGCAAATACACAACCCACTTACAATCTGCAAAGTCAGATGCACTATGAAATGCCTCAGGAAACCAATGCTACAACTGTTTCTTCACAATTTAGATAATCCCAGCTCACACTCTTTCAGATGCATCTGCCTGCTTATGTTGTCTTGAACACCAACCCAAACAGTACATGGACAGTTGTCACTTTACATAGACTATGCATCTGGAGTCATTTTCAGCACATGCTTATAGTCCAGATCTTAAAAAGACCCTCATGGATTAAAAAAAAAAAAAAAAAAAAAAAAAAACCTGCATATGCTTCTAATACCTAGCACTGATAAGTAGCCTGTAACATATGTAACACTGACAAGAATAAACTGGTTCAAATAAGTCTATCCAAATGAACAGCCTCTACTCACTGCAAAAACAACAACAAAATCACCTTACTTTATGAAAATATTTTACATCTCAATTTATGAAAATTAACATGGTAAGAAAAACAACATAAAATTCTAAATGATACCTAGTTCCTGTACCTACATAAGTTTTGTAATTTCCACAACAGAGAAAAATGAACCATGTGTTTCTCAGAGGAGACAATTATTCTTCCATGTCAAGTCTGAGAAAAATGGAGACCTTAAGTGTGAAGCTCTGAGCAAGCTTGGCTCCTGCACCCTGAACGAAGTGTGTCAGCCTCCATCACCCTACAGACTAGAATGGGCACCAGGCTTTCCATAGTGGCACAGCATGCCCCGCTGTGTGGACCTCACTATGCAGAGTGGGTGCTGTTCATCATGCCACTCCACACGCCAGGATGTCACACCACCTTCACCACCACTGTCATCTCAGTCTTCTATGCAGCACAGCTGCTTCCAGCTGCACCCAATCAGCCTCCTTCCCTCCCTGTTCCTTCCATCTTGATATAAGCTTGAGCAGTAAGAAAAAGAAAGCAGCATGTTCAATTTATTTCTGTTAAATGAACTACAACAGTGACTTAAGGGATAAAGTACACCTTTCTTCCACATCACATGTGACCATATGGGTGTTAGTAAAAGATTTACTTCTAGGTGTTTGTTATTTTCCAAAAGATACCTGACAAGAAAATAGAACACGGGTGTCTGTTGCCAGGACTTACTGATCTTTGCACAACTATGCCACTCACTAACCTTCCTTCTCTTTCTTTTCTTGGTTCTCTTCAGCCGCAGTCTTGTCTGCTCTGAAGAAAATTCTTGCACTGCTCAGTGAGAAATAAAGCAGTTCAAATTCCTGCATGAGAAAATTTTAAATAAAAAGGGAAATAGTTAATGTCTCTAAAGGGGTTCTAAGCACCCTAGCCATTCTTGTGCACATATGTGTGTGGTGTGTCCAAGTCTGTTCACATGTGTGTTTGGGTATCCATGCACACATACATGAGTATGTGTGTGTGTGTGTGGTGGAGAGGGTTTGAAGTCAAGTGTCCTCCTAAATCACTCTCTTCTTCATACAGTAAGGCATGGTCTGTCACTCAAGCCCGAGGCTCACTGATTCTGGGCAGACTAGCTAGGCAGTTTGCTGGAGGGCACTTCCTAAGTCTGCCTTCTAAGTACTAGAACTACAGGCAACTTGCCTTCCCAGCTTTTTCATGGGCTCTGGGCTCTCAACTCCAGTCCTCAGGCTTTCAGGACAAGCACTTTATCAACTGAGGCATGTTGCCCAGCCCAACCTATTTTTTTTAAATGACCAAATGGCTTCCAAAATTCTAACATGCATTCCTTTTACTGCTATAATCTCATATGGCTTCAGATATCAAATGCAATGCACATCAAAAGTTAGTCAGAGATCTGGATCCCAGGGCCACTACCTGTAGATAGACCTCCAATCTCTTCTGAGTGAGGTTCATGGTTTGTAGCAGTTTTTCATCTTGACTAGTTGACTGTACATTCTGTTGCTTAGCAACGGCTCTTATCTCCTTTATGTATTTTTCTCTAACAGACTGGAACCAATGAAGTGAATCGAACTCCTGGTACTGATCCAAAAGCTTTAAGGTATAAGCCACACCTACAGTCATTAGCAAAATAAAATTTTAAATTTCAGTGAGTACAGAAGTTCTTCTGTCTTTTTCCTGCACCCACAGCTCCAAGCAATAAGCTAGCCACTTGAATCAACACTTTCAAATCACATTTCACAGCAAGAATGATAAACTTAATCAGAATCTCTTCTAGGTTCCTTGGTTTAAGGGGGTGGGGAAGAGGTGAAAAGTATATAAAAGAATAAAAAACACAAAAACACAGTCATGGACTTCATCAAGAAACCAGAGCTATACATGCTCACGATACAAATTTCCAAAGATAGACAGACAGAAGAGAAATGAGGACACTTCAGAGGCACCAACGAAACCAAACATAAGATGTAAAACTAAAACAGCAATACGCAAGCCCAAACAGAAGGGCAAATGAGACCAACAGTATTTGTGTCCGAATGGTATTAAATGACAAAACCGATGATAGAAAGGGCCTCTTTTGCCGGGCATTGGTGGCGCACACCTTTAATCCCAGCACTCGGGAGGCAGAGGCAGGCGGATCTCTGTGAGTTCGAGACCAGCCTGGTCTACAAGAGCTAGTTCCAGGACAGCCTCCAAAGCCACAGAGAAACCCTGTCTCGAAAAACCAAAAAAAAGAAAAGAAAAGAAAGAAAGAAAGAAAGAAAGAAAGGGCCTCTTTTAAATCAAGTACTAACAGCAGGCACTGCTTAGAGGAAACAGCCTGTTATAAGGAATATATAAATTTATTTTCAAGCAATTGCTCTGAGAACCCACTTTAAGGGAGACACAAAACTGATGGAAAAATAGTTCTATTAAGCTTACCCATGGCGAAACCATCATCAGTAAATGCAGCTCCTATTTTATTTTTCTTATTCAATTTCTCTTTGCAGCTTATAGAATGTTCTACAAAGTTAAGAGTCTAAAAGTAGATAAGATACAGAAAAACAATTGAGCTAATAAAATCTGAATTTGCTATAACAGACATTCCAAGAACTACAAACAGAATTTCTTCTCAGCTACTGAACATTTGCCTTGGGTAAAGTGCCTCTTGCTGAGGGCTTTTCTGCCAAGTCCTCTAAAGAGAATTCCCTCAATCGACACTTACCCTGCCCAGTGCTCACTGGAAGTTACTATGCACAGTTTAGAGTGAGAACTGACTCTAAGAAGATTCAGACCCACGGTCAAACACAAGAAAATGTGGGGAGCAGAAATTGGTTTCACTTTACCTCAAAACGTAAGCACTTTTAACAAAGCAATCCTTCCTTCTGCCTTCACAGCTCATCCTAAAGCACTATTAATTTAGTAGTGGCTCTCACTAACTATAAAATATCTGACAATCATAATCAATTTGTGAAGTCTTTATGACTCCCAATTAGATATTTTTTGGCAGCTCATTTATATTTATCTTCTCCCCCTGAACCCAGACTATAAAGCACACTGTCTTTGTACTACACTTAGTCTATTATATACCTGAATTTTTACAAAAATCCAGACTCTTCCCAAACTTACCAATGGTTTTATGGCTGCCTACCATGCACGGCCTGAATATAATGTTCTCCAGACTAAAGAACCATGGGGGAATTCAAGTTAGTACAGTATTACCAAATAACACACATCTTTAACCTTGGCACTCAGCAGATGTATATGAGCACTTCTGCCACATCAGAGTTATAAAACTAACAGTAAACAACAGATGTAGGAAACAGAAAATGTGATGAGAAAGAGGTTCCGTGGTGGGTAACAATTTCTAATAGGTGATGATACTCCTATACTATGTAATTAGTGATTCCGAGAAAAGGGGGCCTTTATTTTAGACATTTAAAAATTTCTTCTTTATTTTTGTTTTTATGTGTATGCATGTTTGCCTGCATGTATATATATATATATATATATATATATATATATATATATATATTTTCCATACATATGCAGAGCCCATAGAAATCAGAAGAGGGTGTAGATCCCCTGGTACTGTAGATACAGACTGCTCTAAGCCACCATATAGATTCTGAGAATCAAACCTGGGTCTTCTGGAAAAGGAGCCAGTGCTTGTACCCACTGATCCGTGTCTCCAGTTTTGTTGTTGTTTGTTTTGAAACACCATCGAATATAGTTCAAGCTAGCCAGGGATAGCTTTGAACTCTGGATCCTTCTGTTTCTACCTACCTCCCCAAAGCAGGGATTACAGGGATGGACCACCACATCCAGAATATGCAGTGTTGTGGGTAGAACCCAGGGACTCATGCTAGAAAAGCGATCCATGGAGTGAGCCACACCGCAAACTAGACAAACTACTCTCGATCCAAATCAGATGTAATAAAAACCTATCACGTGCCTGTAGATGTTCAGATTTTAAAGACATCTACTAAAAAAATTGAAAGAATCATTTGGTACAGAAACCTTCTAAGAACAGATTTACTGATAATATATACCTTCCTAAGTCCATTTCTCTCACTGCAATAATTGTTTTTATAATTTTAACTTGACCTATTTTTAAATAGCAACTATGGAATTAGCAAAGAAAACAAATATTTTAGGAGAAAGCACTACAAATTTATTATAGGTGCCAGTATTCATGACTGAAAAGAAGTTATCACAAAAAGATATGTTGGAACAAAACTGACATTATAATAAACTAATCTACAGGAAGCAGTTAAAATGATTATATGCCCAAATTCTGTGTGAAGATTCTATGGCATACATGTAAGGACATACACTCAAGTGACTGACATTACCAGGCTTTCTCTTGCCATTAATAAAAACCTGTTAGCTATGAACCTTCAGCTGCAAGTCCAAGCTCTCATCACAATCCCTGACATCATAATTCCATTGATAGCCAGAGGTATGAATATACTTCATGCTTTATGGAAACTGAATCTGTATTTATACCTACTAAAAAGTCACTTCTAATTTTTCAAATACTCACTAGAGGAGGGACAATGATATAGAAATTTCGGAGATGTATATTCTTTGGCCTTCGAAATTCTGGAGCAAAAACATCTACAAGCATTTTGAAATATTCTGTGCCTTCAGCAGAATTTCGGGTATGATCACTGAGGACCGAGTCCAAATGCCTACAAAACAAAACAAAACAAAACAAAACATTCCTTGGTTCCTTTTCAAAGGAGTGACTTTTTAACAATCCAGGTCTCTCATTGGGTTAAGTAATCCCATTTCAAATCAGGAAACAGCATGAAATTTCCTTGGACTTCAGAATGAGCAGAAACTAATCAGTATTACTTAATGAATTTAGTCCCCAAAATAGAATACAGCATCCTCAGGCTTAAAGAGTAGTTTGTAGTTCTTCTTTTCCTTTCTGTATTTATGTACTGTGTTCATGCACACATGTGTATGACTGTGCACATGCCATTCACATATGCACACACCTGTGTGCAGTCAGAAGATAACCTTTGGGAGTCAGTTTCTTTTAGCCCAGTGAGTTCTGAGAGTGAAACACATGTTGTTAGGCTGTAGCAGGTGCTCTTACTTGCTGAGCCATCTCACCATTCATTTTTTTAAAGCATTCGTGTTCGTGTGTGTGTGTGTGTGTGTGTGTGTTCGTGTGTGTGTGTGTGTGTGTGTGTGTGTGTGTGTGTGTGTGTGTAGGTGAGGTGTGTAGGGTGTAGGTGTGTAGGTGTGCATGCATGTGTGTGTATGCAAGCAAGTGCATGAGCATGTACAAGTCAGAGAACAACTTCAGGAGCTGGTTTCCTTGTTTTACCATGTGGGTTCTAAGGCTTGAAATCAGGTCCTCAAGCTTGACAGCAAGCATGTCATCCTTTAAGTGACCTTGTTGGCTGGGTCTCTGTTTCTTGAGAACCCATGTTCACTATAAATATATTCTGCTGTGTTAAACCTCCTCACTAATGGTTCTAGCATCTGTTTACCCTCCATCTGGTTCTCTTTCAGGAGCCGAACTTCTCTTATGATCTCCAGAACCAGCAGCTGCCATGGCTGGGAGATTCAGTTTAACCACTACTATTCTCAACCTCCACCAGTGGAAGGTTCTCTAAGATGTACATGATGCAACTACAGATGCTCTTCATCCTGTGGCTGGTTACATCCTAATAAACTGGCTCCACGGGAAGTGGAAAATGAAGGAGAACCTCACTGAATACCCCTACGCTACCGAACAGCACAGCTTAGCAGCAGACCACACTGCTGCAGTGTACCCTGTGGTTCCCTAAGCATCTCCAGGCTGGCTGGGAGTTGCTTCCTGTTGCCCCTGCCCGACATCACAACAATTACACTGCAGTGTTTGCCTGCAAAAGAACCAAATTTAAAAACAAGAAATATGGTTTCAATTGAATTGCTTATCATTTTTTATAACATCATAGAGATTAAAGTTAAAATTACTTAGTTCGCTGGGCACTGGTGGCGCACGCCTTTAATCCCAGCACTTGGGAGGCAGAGGCAGGCGGATCTCTGTGAGTTCGAGACCAGCCTGGTCTACAAGAGCTAGTTCCAAGACAGCCTCCAAAGCCACAAAGAAACCCTGTCTCGAAAAAAAACAAACAAACAAAAAAACAAAACAACAAAAAAAATTTACTTAGTTCAGGGACCATCTGTATATTCAACTCTTCATTGAAAGCAGGCCTCCACTAACTTTTAGTCATCACCATACAGAGCTTCCATGTGGCATCTGGGAAATGAAGTCCTCTACAATAGCAGCAAGTGCTCTTAACCACTGAGCCATGTCTTCAGCACTGGTTGAGTTAGTTTTACAAATGAGGTCTTAGGCATCACCTACGGTCAGGTCAGTCATTCCAGACAGGAGTATGTGACTGGTAGCTGCATGTGGACAGCATGCTCCAGACCACTGTTCAGTCAAGTGGGAAAGATCTCAGAAACAAGGTATTTCCGAAGTTGAGACTGCAAACACTGTGGCAGCTGTCTTTTCACTGCCTCTGGTATTGTCTACTGGAAGCACATCTTCACTCCCCAGCTTACCTGGCTGCTCTGAGTGTTTCTTCTGCAAGCCCTTCTTCCTTTACTAGCTCTTCAAAACTCACAATGTCTTCAAGATCAGGCACGAATCTGCATGACAATTTGAGAAGAAATTCATGGGGCAAGTAAAATATATGTAACCACACATACATGAAAAGTTCTATGAAACAGCGAAAGGGATTTAGGAAAAACTGCATTTCGGGTGATATTGTTAATATCACTTTAGTTCTAAATCAAGTCTTATATGTAATTATATTTTGATATTCAAAAATCATGCCGTCTTTACATTCATTAGTTATGCTGATAAAAATCAATTCACTACACTTTTAGAGAAATATTTTTAAAAATAGTTTTTTCTTTTAAAAACTTTTTTAGCTGGGCAGTGATGGCACACGCCTTTAATCCCAGCACTTGGGAGGCAGAGGCAGGAGATCTCTGTGAGTTCGAGACCAGCCTGATCTACAAGAGCTAGTTCCAAGACAGCCTCCAAAGCCACAAAGAAACCCTGTCTCGAAAAACAAAACAAAACAAAAAAATGTTGTACCATTTCTCTAGTATAATCTTAATGTTTAAGAGAAAAAAAATTCCTCAGGTGTTAAGATTAATGCTTTCTTCATTATGAAGTAAACTGGTTTACTGAGTACACATCAAGGGGGCAGAGGGCCAGGCAGTAATAAAAGGTCCACAGTCTCAAATTGTACCCAATAAAGACAAACACCTTTGTCTACAGTATTATGAAAGATAAAATTTCACAAACAAGGTAGAAATCATGTTTGAATCCATACCTAATGGCATTGCTGCTACAATGAAGACCACCAGATCTTATCATTCTTATATAGCCCATAGCATTACCTTCAAAAATCACACACAAAAAAAGCACATCATTATATGAGCAATTCTCACAATCAGGACAAGTTACATAAAGCAGCCAACCAAGAAGTCTCCACTACTAAACACCAAAATATTCTGCTACATTTTAATTTTAGTTTCTATTCTATAAAAAGGAAAACTGTTGCAGAGTTATGTATTTAAAAGTTAGATTTAGACATATATAAACATTAATAATTTAAGTGTAATTGAATTGATAAAATCATTAATTGCTAGCTTCATTAAAATGATCAAACATTTTAAAATTACAATATAATTTCCCACACACTCTCACACACTCCCTCTGAAATGGTGTCAGGAAATCTCCCAAATTTGTCTTTCTAGCCTGGACTCCTCTGATCTCTAGACTTTTATCAAGTACTAATACCTATGAACCAAAGACAAACTTAAAATCTTCATTACACCCAAGTCTTTATCCCCAACTATACTTCCTCTTTCAGAACTGGCAACTGCATCCATGCAGCTGCTGGGAGCAAGTGCACTGACACATCCCCTGACGCCTTCCTTCCTTTCACATCTCACACCCAATCAGTGGACAAATTATACTGGCTCTATCGTGAACACAGAGCCAGAATGTGGCTGAAGACAGAGCTCAGTGGTAGCGTACCTGTCTAATGACTGAGGATCAGGGGCAAACTGCAGGAGCAACGGGCATGAGAAAAAGAGGTTCAAAACAAGCTATCGAGTATTCCACCGAAGTCTCTTGCCTAGACCACTGTCATGTGCAATGGCTGACTTGACTTCCCCATTACCACCTTCAGGACCCACAGTACCCTTCCATCTAATCAAGGATCCCATAAACTCAACTGGGGAGTGTCATGTCCTTCTGAAAACGACAACAGTTTGTTCCATCTGAGAATGGCATCCATTTCCATGTGACAGCACAACACTGCACGGTCCTGACCAGGACTGCTGTTCCATATGTTCATGTGCCTTGCTACTGAGGACTTCATTAGCTTCATTTCATCCCTATTCCAAACTATTCCTCAAAAATGCCTGGAGACTCACCATTTTTACACTTCCCATTACCCGTCTGATACTCTTTCCCCAGATACACACACACAAAGTGGATTCTGTCCCATTATTTAGGTCGCTGTTCAAATTTTACTTCCCTGAAAGTCTTCCTGAATCACTGCACAGGATGCCCAGCCCCATTATATTTTACCCAGAGTTTATTAATGGATACCCCATCATTTTGTCTGCCTTTCTCCTCAACTAGGATAAAGATCCACTGAGTACGACATTTGCCTTCTTCACTATCCCATCCCTAGAGCAAACATGTCCTGCGTCACAATAGGAATTCAATATATAACAGAAATGAAATTATTTGGGAGAAAAAGAACAGGTCAAATAAAAAGGTAACAGTTAAAATTTCACAAGCATTACTGTTCTGATATTAATGCTACACAGTAAGGACGATGAGCTACATTAAGGCCTATTGAAATTCCCAGGTGTGTTTAAAATATATGTAACATGCATTTTTAAAAATTATATATTTTAGAGTGTGTTATATCTCTGGAGGTTTTTGTAAAATATAAAATTCATTTTCTGTGCACTGGTGTGAGGATGTCAGATCCCCTGAAACTGGAGTTCCATACAGACAGTTGTGAGCTACCATGTGGGTGCTGGGATAACCACTGAGCCATTTCTCTGGCCCCATAACACACATCTTTTAAAAATTAAATACCTAGTTTGACTATTTCAACTTAGTGCTAACTATTTAAAATCTAAGAGGCAAGCCAAGAATAGTACTAAAAGCAAAATCCCTAGTCAGACTACCAGATTCTACCATTTGTTAGCTGTGGCCTAGATCAAACTCTATAAATTATTGTCACATCAGCATCTAAAACATTTACTTGCCATAAATAAATCATCTAGGATGAGTTAATGGAAATAATACTTCCCATACTTTGGGTGGTGGCACACAAAGCCAGACCCTGAGAGCATGATCAATAGCTGTCAGACATGAATCAACTGAAGACTTTCCTATGCTGGCCTGTTGCCTAAAGTGTCAACAGCACTTGATGCCTCAGTTTCTCTTCAGCCTATTCCAACACAGGCTTTCATTAACACAGACAACACATGTCAACAGCTCAGAGAAGGCCAGAGCCTGCCAATCTTTGAATTTAAATGCAGTTCTTCCTTTAAAAATTATGTACCATATTTCAGGAATCAAGTCTGCTTCTAAAACGCAACAATTCCTACACAAAAGTACAAAATGACACAGTGCTAAAAAATTACATCATTCAGTGTTTAATCTACAATTAACTTTACATAAAACCTATAAACTACTTTTACTTGGCAGTTGATTTTTAATTATGAATGTAATTCTGGGGGTGCATTTATTCAGTGAATATCTAATTTGTTTCAACAAATCCTATTTAACTGTCAGCAGTTTATACACAATAGTTTAGTAAGTGAGATGAAGTCGTGTAGACCCATTTACACAACAATACATGAGCTGTCTCATATATGTGCTGTATGCAACTCTGGTACTTGTAATATATTTCTAAATACTTTTAAGTGACTTACCAATCTGGCTGATGAGCTGCCTGAACTGGTCAAGGTAGCTCTGTCCCTCTGGTGTGATTCCGAGTTTTCTTATGCCACGATTGAATTTTTCTGCTCTGTCAAAAGGATACTAAAGAGATAAATTTAAAGATATCTTTAGACCCTTAAAACATAAAATCCTTACTAAATTGATCATGTCAGTACCACCGTCCTAATTTTGTATTACATTATTCTTTACAAAAAAAATAAATCACTCAAGTCTAATAGCAAATCTATATAATAACAACAACAAAAACCTTATTAGTGTTCAGGTCAAATCTGTGTAACAAACCCTCCTTGTGTTCAAGGTCAATGTTTTTGTTGTTGTTGTTTTAGAATCAGCTGAAGGGAAAAACTAGTGACACTCAACTCACTTCTGCACCACCATTATTAGCTTCCTAACACCTAACTACTCTACCAGACTGAAAAAACAAACCAAGCCCCTAATTGCATGTGTTCAGTGATTTGTAATCAAGTTTCTATAGGCTTGCTGCCAAAGAATTTACAAACACATTCCTCACAAATGAATACAGAAGTCACTTAAAATGCTAAGCTCAGTAGCACAAACCTATGACCATAGCATTTGTGAGGTAAACACAGGAAGATCAAAAGTTCAAGACCCTCCTTGGCTATTCAGTGAGTGTGAGACCAGCCTCATATGAGACCTCATAGAAAAAAAATTTTCTAGTTGCCTTCATCAATTGGGGCAGGGGGCACAGGGCATCGGGTTTCAAGTTCTGGAACAGACTAAGGGAGAGCTGTTCATTGACTGAATGACACCGGCTCTCTGTAGCAGCATGGTTACTTGTAACTTCCACCCCAGTAAAAAGGCATCTACAACAGTTTTCTACTGATGATTGTACTGTATATTAATTCCTTTACTATAACGGAATACACCAAGGAACTAATATACAAGAAGCTGGGGCTAGATGAATCTGTGAAATTCAGACAGCTCTATAAAGAGCAAAGCAGATCCAGAATCCATCAGGCACGTGAACTCTCCGTCTTCAGTTATGGCCTCTGCCCTACTTACTTCCTACAGGTCAACAGTTTTTACCTCATAATGGGAAAACTCATATGGAGGGCAAAGGGAAAACAGAATTCTGTTTATGAGCACGGGTTCTGTTGTTTTTAGTTATCTCAGGTATATTTGTATTTTCCTTATGGTACCCGGGACATGGCAAACAAGTCCAATTCCGAGAGGCTACACCCCCAGTCCCCAAAAATAGCATTCTAAAAATCAATGTGGTGGAAATCAATTGTTCAGTATTTTTGTAGTGCTAGACAACATGTGCCAGAAATCTGAAGTATCCATTCTCATTCACTATAAGAGAAATTTCTTTTCAAGGATATAGACTCCAGAAACAGACTCCAATTAATGATGTTGTATCTAAAGCTCCGTTTTTAAGAACAGAGAGAGAGAGATAACTAAAATACCCATGAGTTGAATAAGCTCCCTTTATTATTAACTCTTAAAAACAATGACATCAGGAACATGATACAAACAATTAGAAGGTTGCTCTATCTTTGCAATAAAAATGTGGTATCTCTATAATTGTGTGAAGCCGCCTCCAGAAACAGAACGGGGAAGAGAAGTGAGGAAGGTGGCACTTGGACTTGACATTGTTTAAATGCTTCAAAATGAGCATGGTTTTGTATGTGTATTACTGAAAGATAAAATAACCTGGGCTACAATTATCATTTAATATTCTAGTAAGCTTAAGCCTAGAGAACATAAGGGAATTACAAGGAAGCAGGAGGAGAATGGACACAGGAGACATGGGCAAAGACTACCCACAAAGGTGTAAGTAAAAAGCCTAGCACAAGCATCTGTCATTTACATGACAATCCAGGTACTTAAGGATATATGCAGCATACCTTGTGATCATTTTGGTCCTTGATCTCCCTGAAAAACCGAATATCTTTAATCAATCTGGATTTGATATGTTCATCATACATAAATTGACTAAATATATAGAACTTCTTTTTCAAAAACTGGTAGGTAAAATTAACCTATAAAATAAAAAATATAAAGTAAAAAGTTAATATAAAATTTCAAATAATGTTACAGAGTTAGTGATCTAAAAGTACTATTTATAAAGTTCAACTACTACTGGAGCTGAAGTATTTAAATAGTGTTTTACTGCCAAATTCATAGAAATTTCTTTTATTTACAGGATATACTTTTACCAAAAGAGAAAGAAAAAAAAGGAAAATACTCTCACGATAGTATTAAGACCTATACTGGGAAACAAAACATCATACCGACAATTCAATCGTAGTATTTAAGCCATTTAAATCACAGTCACAGTCTCCCCAGTTCTTCCATAGTAAGCTGCTTTATTACTAAGGCTGGAAGGGTATGCATAGAAGAGACAGGATGCTGGGGGAAGGTATCAAACAATCTCTCATCTATATGGCTCTGAAGCCTTTCCTAAGCAAGGCAATGTGCCTGTCCCAGTGCTAGAGGTCTTCATCCTCATTAAGTTTAGATTCCAGCAGAATTGAAGACATCTTAAACATGTACTATCAAATCATTAAATCATAACTCCAATAAATTCTAGAAATTAAAGAGGGTAGGTACTTTGAGAATGACTATCTAAAGGCCCAACTCAGATTCACAGATCTTCAGATGTGAGATCTGAGCTGAGATTCAAGTTTTAGGAAGTTCATCAAACTAATTTCATACTGCAATGAAAGCCCTACACTAGCCCCTACACCACTACTCTCATGTATTACTAATGGTGTTGGCCAAGTTACTGTCTATACTTACCTACTTACAGAAATGGGTGCTTACTCATGGTATAAACACTTATTTAGGACATAAACATTTAAGGCATAAACACCTTGGTCTTTTCTATTTTTCTTTCTCTCTCCTTCCCACTATAATAGTGGACAACTTGCCCCTCTGGTTCTCTCCCTCCTAGGTAACCTACATGAATGTCAATATTCTTCTGTTACCAAAAAGATAGAAAATGCCTGCTTTTCTCACTCCCACGCTTAGCACACAATGCCTGATAAAACATAATCCACTATCAACATTTGTTACGTGAGTGTTTGTTACAATAGAAGAAAGCATTTCTCCTCTAGACACTATAACATTTATTCTTAGGATCAGACACGCTCTGTCTGAGGACTCCTGATCTTTAAAATGCTGACTGTCTAAGTCTTGTTTCCACACTGGTAACCACTGGAGGACAGCTAATCAGACCACACACATCCCCTAAGAAACTACAGTCTTCCCTGATGCAAAACAAAGATCCCCATTTGGCTTTCCAGGCTTCTCTACATGCCCCTTCCCTTACTACAAACGGTTTCAGGGTATCTTTATGCATGCCCATTTTTCTTCTCTCCTGGAAAAATTAACCTTACTTCATGAGAGGGAAAATAGTTTACAAGTTTAGCTATTATTACAAGTAACTGCCCACATCAAGTAAGATCCAAAGTATTTTTAGCAATTTGCTTATGCACATAGTTATTAAATAATTAGGTCTCCCTCCCCTTAAAACATCACTAATGATAGTAAGTAAACTGGTCCCAGTGACTCATTTCCAAAATAATTTTCAGAGAGAATAAGAGAACCAACACACACATACAGTATACTGACTTCCATTGTTAACAATATGGTCCAGAAGGATAAGAGACCTTACACAGCCTTTTCCATCATAGCACCCACCTCATTCAACACTACAGTAACAGATATTCTTATTTATACCATCAGGGGAAAAAAAAAAAGGAAATTCAGGTACGATAATGTGTGCTTACCAAAAACTCTGTAAAACATAATCTTCCAAATTGCTAAATCCAACAAGAGTCTATTACCCACCAAACCCACAAAAAAAATGCTTACTGTTGTATTCATGATCCCTGTCCCATGTGTTCGAATTGAATTAGCAATGTGTCGAATATTAATAGTATTCAAATGTTTATTATTGCTTGTCCGTTCAATAAAAATCTGCAATACAAACAAATTTATGAATAGTAAGAATTCACCTCATCCCAAACATTGGTCAGTAACCCAAGGAAATGTAGAATCTTTTCATTAAGGATAATTTAACTGAAAAGCCACTCAAAAGATGACACTAACATACTGCAGCAAAGACTAAGCAGGCATCTCAACAGCTACAGCTGTAGTGGTGTCACACTCCATTAATGCCAGCACCCGCCATGCAAATCTCTGTTCATTCAAGGTCAGCCTGGTCTATTTAGCAAGTTCCAGGCTAGCCAGAGCTACACTGTAAGGCCCTGTCTCATGGAAAACAAAAAAAAATCTCTAAAAAGTTGTTCTGTTTTACATATTTTACCAACTTTCACCTTTGCAAAGTCAATTCATGGTCTTTCAGCCATTCTATTATAAAGTCATCCCTGTGTAAAACTTGATCCCAGCTGGGCATGGTGATGCATCACTGTAATCCCAACTCTCTGGAGGCATTAGCCCAAAGCCAGCCTAGGCTAGATGTAAACTCTAGGTCAGTCAGGACTACAGAGTAAAATCTTGCCATTAAAGCACAAAACAATATAAATAAAATCTTTTTCTAAATTCCACTCACCTGATTATTGAGATTATAGAGGTATCGAGAGACAAATATGTGAATGTTTCTCATTATCTCCAGAACATCAAGTCCCTACAACACAATCCACACAGAAACGCCAGGACTGTTAGTTGAGTATGGTTAGTCACATCTGTACCAATAGAACACCTTCCTGATTACACTGCTGCCCAACAGTTTTCAACATGTTTAAAAACTACAAAGGTACCAAAGTTCCAAGAGCCACTTATACAAACAACTTCAAGAGTCTGCCAGCTTTGTATTTTCCCCCCTCCATGGGCAGAAACAAAGCTGACTCACAAGACCCAGAGACACAGCTATCTCCTGACTATCCTTCTGCTCTTCATATTTTTTTTTTTTACAAAGTAAACTAATGAATAGACTCCAAAAGTTACTTAGAAGACATTATAAGAACATTTGTAAAAATGCATACTACTTTTCAGAAATTACACAAGAACTATTCTTCATATGTAATTCTCAAAGCCATTAGGTAATTATTCTTCTAAACACCAGAAGAAAAAAAAAAAAAAAGCTAAGAGAGTTTTTTAAGGTTTAACAGCTAGAACAGACAGTACCCTGGTATTTTAGAAAGTTTATGCTTTTTTTGAGGAGGCCAGATCCCTTTTAGATCTGGTTTAATTTTTAATTATATCAAAGTGTGTGTGGGGGTGTGTGTGTGCACACAAGGGTATCAAATCACCTGGAGCTGAACTTACAGGCAATTGTGAGCCTTCTGGTATAGGTGCTAGAGATTGAACTCAGATCCTCTGCAAGAGGAGTACATGCTCTCAACTGCTGAGTGAAGTCTTCACCCCCAGAACACCTTTTAAATATAAATATATAGATTTATGGTTTGTTTGCTTTGTTTTTCAAGACAGAGTTTCTCTGTGTATCCCTGGCAGTCTTGGAGCTTGCTCTGTAGACCAGGCTGGCCTCAAACTCAAAGATCTGCCTGTCTCTGCAAGACATGTGTCACATGCTCATACATTTGTACACATGTGCATGTGTGTTTTTTTAATGTGTATGGGTGTATGTCTGTGTACACTTGCGTGCCTGGTGCCTGCAAAGGTCAGAAGAAGGTGCTGGATCCCATGGAATGGTAGTTATAAACCATTGTATGCATGTAGGCACTGGGAACCAAACCCAGGTCCATTGCAAGAAAAGTAAGTACTCTCAATGCTAAACTATCTCTCAGCCACCAAACCCTTTACCTCTATTAAAAGTCCTCCTTTCTCCACATGTTTCCCTAATACTCAGTGGTATACCACATATTATTCTACAGTTTGTCTAACTAGTTCTCAAAGTATCACCATACTACACTTAAGGGTTATACCTTTTATTATGATCTACCCTAGAAGGTTCTTCATATACTTTATCTCCCCTTAGGCTATAAGCATATGAACTAAACATGGTTCATTTCCAGTACTCTCTCAACAAATACTAGATGCTTAATGAATGAATGAAAGGATTCACAAAATGATCCTGGAAATAATCCATAAATATAACAGGTTAAAGAAATCCCCTTGGGATTGACAGGAAGCAGGAAGCAGTTTGGAGAGAACTATGCCCACATTCTCAAATATTGTTTGTAAATGTTTCTTTTCATTTAAATGGTGTTGGCTATGAATGGTTAATGATCACAGGCAATATTTTTCTAAAGAAAAAAAAGGCAGTATGACATACAAATGAATACTTTGCATTGGTGTGGATTTTGGTTTATTGATACAAATTTAAGTTCAATTTTGTTATATGTATATTGCTACTCTTGTTTAGATACTGTGTTTATGCAGCTCATTTAAAAACATAATGTATAATTAATTAAATACAAATTTAATTGTCGTAGTCAAAACTTAGGTTTTCTAGGTATACAGAGATATATTTCAAATGGATAGGTATTCTTCAAAACCTTTCAATAACAACAACAAAAAAGCAGGGCTGGAGAGATGGCTCAGACAGAGGTTAAGAGCACTGACTGTTCTTCCAGAGGTACTGAGTTCAATTCCCGGCAACCACATGGTCGCTCACAACCACCTTATATGAGATCTGGTGCCCTCTGCTGGCATGCAGTCAGAAGACTGTATACATAATAAATAAATAAATAAAATCTTTTTTTTAAAAAAAAAAAAAGCAACCTTTCAAAGACGTACAGAATATGGCATTTAAAATGGTTTATTAAGGTTTTTCATGACAACGAGACACAACTGCTCCTGGAATCACCAATTATGTCAGAGAGGAAGATGGGCATTGAAGAAACTCGTTACAGAGTTTACCTTTCACATGGCAGGAATAGCCATTTGAACAAGAAACTGCTTTTGCCTGGATTGCCTGACAGCATGTTGTCCAAACTGGACAAGCAGGTTACAAAAGAAAGTGACTGCTGAACTTGCCAGGGAACAGGATGGTTCTTCAAGCTTCCTGCTTCATCAAAAAGTATGCCAGACACTATGGCCTATGGGCTGAAGATGGATGCCCCTAACTCTATAGAGGAACTTTGGGTGACTGTCCAGGCATCGAGATGTCTCTGTCAATTCTAGAGTTTATGTATTATCCTTCTAGAGTCTTTGATGGAGTTCAAGACAGATAGTTATGGTTATGGTTTTCCTTCGCTATGAGAAAAATTAAGTTACACATAAAACTTTAGACAGGATAAATGAGAAAATATTTTCTTTAAATTTTGCCAAATGTTAGTGGACTAAATATTGTTAACTATAATTCTTGCTCAGTAACTATTTTGTTATATATATATGTGTATATATATATATATTATATATATATATGTGATATATAATATATATAACAAAATATATCATATATTATATATATATACACACACATACACATATATATATAATTTTATATAAAACTATGTTAAAGTTAAAACCTTCCTTTTTATTTAGACAGAAAAGAGGAGATGCTTTTTACTGTGAATATATGTTTCTCTTATTGGTTGGAGAATAAATGTTGGTTGACCAGTAGCCAGGCAGGAATTATAGGCAGAGTTACCAGACTAGGAATGCTGGGAAGAGGAAGAGAGAGAGTCTCGAGAGAGAGAGAGAGAGAGAGTCTCGAGAGAGAGAGATGCCATGTAGGCACCAAAGGAGTAACATATCATAGCATTATGGATAAGCCACAACCTTGTGGCAATACATAGTTTAATAGAAATGGGTTAATAATTAAGAGAGAGCTAGCCAATAAGAAGCCTGAGCCATCGGCCAAATGGTTCATAATTACTATAAGCCTCAGTATGTTTATTTGGGACTAAACAGGGCCGCAGGACCAGGAAGGATAGAAACTTCTGTCTACAAATACTCAAATTTTGAGACAATGTCTTTTAGATAAATATTAATATATCTTAAAAAGAATTACACACAAAATAACAGTCTGATGCTACATTCATGAAATATTGACATATTATAAATTAATTGAATTAGCAAAACCAAATGCTTCTTTGCAATTTGCACATATATAAATAGCTGTTTTTCCTAATTTTTTTAAAGTTAATATACTACATCCGTTTAAAATCCAACCCTGTCTATCCTTTTCTAGGGTTCTGTAGAACCCTATCTTAGTACATTCCTGAAAAGTCTGTGTGTGCATATATGTTTGCGTTTCTTTTACATGCGCTGCAGAATTAAGCATACCCAGGAAGACAATGATAAATTCTTTTGTCCTTATCAAATATGAGATTTATGTAATAAAAATAAATTAAGAAATACATTAAAGGGATGCAGAGCTATCTCAGTGGTTAAGTGTACTTGTTCTTATGGAGAACCTGGTTTTGTTTCCAGCACACACATGAGGCTCTCAGTTCTATCCACAAGGAATCTGACATTGTCTTCTGACCTCTGTGGACACCAGTCACATGGTACAGACAGACACATGCAGACAAAGCACTCATACCCATAAAACAAATACACATAAAATAAATAATATATATTAATAAATATAATATAATGTATGTATACATATACATACATACATGTCATTAAGGCTGAAAAAAGAGAGAGATTTCATGAATTAATACAGCCACATCAGAAACACCACACACATACCTGCTCCAGAGTCTGGCTAGGAAGATGTGCCTCTGTCATGACCAACCCATAGCGTTGAGTAGCCAAATTTCTCATTTCGCTGTAAGTAGCCCAATCGTGAAGAGCTACGGTTGTGAGATTGTAGAAGGTCTTGTCTAGATAGTGAGTTACATAAGCTACAAAACAAAACCCACAAAATGCCATGTCTGACTCATCAACAGTAGGAGAAATGAAGTTAAAAAAGGAAAAGAACAGTACATGATTTTAAAATCAAATTTGTTCTTTTAAAATAAGGTTCTAGTATCAACACTCAGAGAGTTAGGCAGGAAGAGCATAAGTTCAAAACTAGCCTTAGCTAGAGAGTGAAACCTTATCTTCAAAGAATTTAAAAACAGCAACAACACAGGACTGTGTGTGGTGGGATAGGCTGCAGCAGGAGACCCAAGTCTGAGGTCTACCTGGGTTACAGATGGGGCCTGGGCTACCCTGAGCTACACAACAAGATTGAAACACTGCTAGGCAATAAGAGAACTTGGGACTGAGCAAGAGACTCTCCAGGTCACCTGCTGTTTGGGTCAGAAGAGACAAAGGAAGCACTTACCTCTAATGTCAATGAAACGACTGAAAAACCTAATCGGGTTCAGAGAGAAAAACAGAGCCAAGTCTTTCCTGCCGACTCGGAAGGGGTTCCGGTCATCCAGCTTCAAGTGAGTATGCACAGAGAGCCGCAAGTCTTTCTCAATTTCCTTGCACAGCTTGTCCAGCAAATGCTATTCAAAAGTAATGGAGAGTTGTTCAAGAGGACACTCCCACTGCAGTGTTCCGACACGTTCATGCCTTGATCTTCAGAGCGCACTGATGAGAAATTGACCAACTAGTTGCTTGATTTAGGATGCTAAACCCCACAATGGTAAATTTTAATTTTTGTTTGAAAAGGAAAAGTATTCTACTATTTTAAACTAGTGATTTTTTTTTTGGACAGGGGGCAGCTAAATACTGACACTTCATTTTCATGAATTTAACTAATTCATGAAATCATATTTAATTCTCATGAAAAACAGCCAACCAATGGCTTCACTATATGGAACATGAATATGTACTATAAAGCATAAAATTTATGGAAAATGGCAGCAAAAGAAGGATCATGCAATATGCAATAAAGAAAAATAGATTTCCTTATACTTTTTATTAAAAATTACAGGGGCTGCATGCACATACATGCAGGCAATAAAAATACACATAAAATAAAATTTAAACAAGTTTTTTAAATCATGAGGACTTTGGAAATGAATCAGCAGATTAAAAGCACTTGTAAACATGTGTGAGTCCAGATCCTCAGAACATTGCTAAACAGATGCAGAATTCTAGCCGGATCCTAGCATGAGATGGTAAACAAGAGAATTTCCCAAAACTCTAGAGCCATTTGGCCTGGTTTGTACAATGACTGTCCTGTCTCAAAACAAGGACAGACACTCCAGGTTGATCTTTGTGGGAACACTTGCACCACAGCACAGGTGCACAGAGACATAACACACACAAACACATTACACAAACATTAAAACACACACACACACAAACACACACTTCATTTAGGTGATTCAATCAATCATCTTCCAAATACCACATTATTTGTTTTATTTTTAATTAATATTTATGATCATTTGCAAGGTTTGATAACACAGGACAACTAAAAAGAGAATAAGATCATACAATATATTTCATAATTCCATCATAATGAATATGGTTGTGCTGGAAGGCTGGCTTATTTTTAATCTTATCTTCCAAACAAAAACTATTTATAAATAATTTCTTTGGGCTTTTATGAGACAAGGGCCAGGGCCTGGAACTCACAATCTTCCTGCCTCAACCTCCTGAGTGCTGGAATCACAAGTGTGCTTCATAAACACACAGTTTTGTTTAAATAATTTCTGATTCAGTGAAGACTATATCACACTGGCTTCCAAAGCATTGCTTTTAAGCTTTCAATTTTGCCGGGCGTTGGTGGCGCATGCCTTTAATCCCAGCACTCGGGAGGCAGATCTCTATGAGTTAAAGGCCAGCCTGGTCTCCAGAGCGAGTGCCAGGATAGACTCCAAAGCTACCCAGAGAAACCCTGTCTCGAAACCCCCGCCCCCCAAAAAAGCTTTCAATCTCAAATACAATCTTACCTCATTTAAAATTTCCATAATTTCCTTGTCATAGCAATCCAGAAGTAGCTCATAGGACTCTAAATGCCTTGAATGCATCATGGCAGGCACACAGTCTCGTAAAGCACTGAACATGTACTAGCAAGAAAATTAAAACACACCCAAGTTAGAAAAACACAGAATTCTAAAGATACTATAAAGGCTAATTACACACAAAGACAAAACCTCTGACCTGAAGGAAAAAGAATACTGTTCTATGACTGCTTTATTTTCCTAAAAACCTGAAACACACAATTTAAGCGCACACACACACACACACACACACACACACACACACACACACACAGAAAAGCTAACATTCACTCATCTTTTACTATAATACGTGCACTCAAACACTCTTCCTTCCATAAAGAACCTGAGTAGCATACAGCCTGCCAACAAGTAAATATCAAGACTACTGAGGCAAGCTCAATCAAGTAAGCCCAGAATGGCTAACTGTATGTAGAGAAGAATTAAAGCACAGTACAAGTAATTTCACTAGTATTGATACACAATTTAACCATGGACTATATAACCTTGATTGGATATGCATAACAACAATGTTCAAAATATCATTACAGGTCAATTTTATGATGGTTTATTAAATCAAATGACCTATTTAAAACTTAAAAAGTGGCTAGGAATGATGTTTACTTTTTTAGATGACTATTTACTTACATGTAATCTAGCTGCATCAACAGCATTTTCATATACATCATCTAAGTAAATTGGGAAGACAGCTCGATGCCAGTATAAAAAACAACAGTCACACTGTGTTTGGACTCTACAATATAAGGTAATAAGTAATTAGTGGTACCAAAATTCAAGTATCCCTCAACAACACAACAGAATGACTTTATGTACTCTAAGGGGAAGAGGTCTGTCTTCCTCATTTACATTCTCTGTATCACTTCACTCAACATTACTACACAAAGTCATAAAACTACACATTTTTCAAATTGAGTAAAGGTAATAAAACATTTAATATCCTGAATTATCAAAATTCTGTACATGCTTTAAGATTGTTGAAAAACCCAGACTATTAAACATATGTTAAAATTATTTTACTTGCAATATTATCTGAAACAATTCTTGTATTACACGTATAACTTACCTGTCTCCAAAGTGAAAAACAAATTTTAAGAGGTAAGACCTTGGTATCCCTCACTGTTGTTTTTTTAGCCTACCAAATCTTGTGTACTCAATTCTCTCTATTAAGTCCCAGCTTTTGGGAGGAGGACCTCTGTGAGATGGAGGCCCACCTGAGCCACAGTCAGTCCCAGGCCAGCCAGGGTATATAGTGAGACCCTGTACTTTTTTTTTTAAAGCCACCATGACCTAATAAACCTGTCACATAGAGCCTACCAAATGACTATTTAATGCTTACAGGAGAAGGCACTTACCCCAAGTATCTTATAGTGAAGGTTCAAATTTCTGTCAAGAATTGAAATTAAATACCACTAACTACCAAAATATCAGCTTCTCAGAAGAGCAAACAAAATTATGAACATTAAATGAGAATTGTGCTATAACACAATAGCTTGGCCTTGTCAAAAGTGCAGTGCTCATTGTCCCTTCTGGAAACCTACAGCCACTTAATGAAAAGAAAACCGTCACAAGCACCTGCAAAAACAAGCCTTCTCCAAGTCAGTCCAACCCAACCCAGCTTCTGAGGCATCAAGTCAAAGTTCCAAAGTTCCAAATAAAAGCACACAACATGGTGTGTCATGATCTTCAAGTGGCTCACAAGGAATAAAGCTTTTTTATTAAGCAACAAGTCTGGAAGTCCAGTAGTGACAACAATAAAGTAATGACAATGGACACCAGAACCTGCCAAACACCCTGAGGGTACACTGTTTTGTCTAGTGTGAGTTCTTCCAGAGGATTCATGCTTCCTGTGAAAGCCAAGCTAAGTCAGGACAATGTTGCAGTCACAGTCTCCTTCTGGTCAGAGGTTACAGAGAGGAACTAACGCTCCCTGTGGATCTCATCCCGATTGTTGCTGTGCTAAAGACAAAAAGAACTGAATGTGTCGGCACACCCTGTGATCCCAGCCTAGACCACGGAGAAAAACAGGAGGAGGCTGGAGTGGGGCAATGTTGAAGATGAGCAGGCAGGATGGCTGTTTTGTGTTCTATCAGCCCAGGCTTTGACCAGCCTCACGCCCAGTCCTACTTACCGTTCTCTAAGTTCACTGATGAGATCCAGCTTCTTCATGACTACTTGAAGGGGAAAGAGCTCCTCATCTTTAAAGGTTTTCTATTGGCAAGAAGGGAAAACACGAAGTGAAATCACAATAAGGTCAAGTTTCTTAGGCTAATAATGAACTGCGAACCTCAAACCGCATGCTTATTCCATGAATAAGAGCAATAAACTTACCATTTGTGTGCCAACACTTAACGCCAAAGAAACAATAAGTCGTCGTTGCTTTGTGCTTGGTCCATTTAGGGTATTTTCAGCCAAAACGAGAGCAGAAAGCACATCAAGACGCTGTTCACTGTATTTTTTGTCTGAAATTACTCTTTTCTTAAAGATCAAACAGAAAATTATTAGTTTCAATTACAACATAGTTAAGTTCCAAAGGAAAAAAATCCTCTATTCTATTCTCTCTGGCACTCAGGAGAGCACAGGATAACACTTTCCCCCACTGTTCTCAACTTAGCTCTGTAACTGTCTCTCTCAGCACTGCTGGACAGCAAACGCAGTGGGCTTAAACACATTCACATTAATCTAATAACAAAGAATGTCTAAACATGAGGATCAAAGCCCTTCCTTCTATCTGTTGAGAATAGCTGCTAAAGAAGTTGTTAAACACAGAGGTCCTTAACTCTCTCAACTTGACAGATATGTAAGTGCAGGTCCATACCCAGTTTTCACTTTCAGGAGAAAACTCAGTAAGTTACATGGACACCCAGGGCTTCATGACAAGACTAGACTTCAGGACTAGACTTTGAGTTAGATAGTTTCCTCTGTCAGCTACTGCATCAAATCAGAGTATAATCAGAGAGTATAATCTGAGCACATTTAAGGTGAGCTAGGCTGAGTTCTGAGGCTGCCAGCACACACCCTGTATAAAGAAGAGCCTGTATCAGTCAATCATGGTTGTTTCTCAGACACTGTAATTATTCTCTGGTACAATTCTGGTAACTAAAAGATTGCAAAATGCAATGGATAAAGCACTATAGAAATAACACATTTGCAGGAACAGAATAAAGAGGCTAAAGCAGGATATGCAGATAGAACACAATAGCTTAATTATGCCGAGTATAGAGTACACAGTAATCTGCATACCTTGGCTACAGAAATAGAATTAAGAGCCTGATGCTGAAGGTGCTGTGTTATATGTGACACTGAATCCGCTACAACCATGCTTCTCCTGTAGAACATATGCTCTATCGCCTAAAAGAAACAAAAGTAACTTTGCAAAAATGAACTTAAAACTTACAAGTAAAATCATTAGAGAAAACCTTCATGACCCTAGGCAAAAGAAGGAATATGTAGGAGCTGGAGAGATGGCTCAGAAGGAATTTGTAAATGAGTCTGGTGTGGGGGGCAAATATCAAAATGAGCACAAACAAAACAAAACACCTACCACTTGGGGCTGCAGAGATTACTGAATCTTTAAGTGCTTGCTCATCTCAAAGGCATGAAGAACCAAGACTGAATTCCCACTTTTATGTTAAAAAAAAAAAAAAAAAAAAAAAAAAACCCCCCTTTTTTTAAAAAAAAAAAAAAAAAAAAAAAAAAAACGCCCAAGCATGGGGAGGAGGGGCACAAGCTTTCCCTCAATGCTTATGAGACAGAGAGGATCCCTAGAGCTTGCTAGTCTCATCTGTAAGCCCCAGGACCCTGTCTCAACAAAACAAAACAAAATACACAGCTTTAAAGAATCAACATCTGAGGTCGATCTCTGGCCTCTATGCCCAGGTGCATAATACATACACCCCTACAAACAAAGACAGACAGACAGACAGACAGACAGACAGACAGACAGACAGACACACACACACACACACACACACACACACACCCAAGGTTGGAAAATTCAACTCCATTAAAATTAACCACTTGTATTTGTCAAAAATCTTTTTAAAAAAATAAAAAGATAAGACGTGCTTGGGAAAGACATCTGTTAAATGAAACTAGTATCCCTTCTATAAATACTCCAGATTCCAAACGAATTAAGTATTATTTTTTACACAATCATTAGAAAACCAAAATAAAAGCATGTATAGGTTGTTTGTTTCCCCCAAACAAAAACACAGTAAGTTTTTAAAAAAAAGTCACCATCATTAATAATTAAGTGCTGATGATTTAAAATTGTCAAAACCTCCTGTACCCATTAACTGCCCTAACGCCAAGTATGGTAGAACAGGCCTATAATCACTGCATTCAAAAGGATGAGGCAGGAGAACTGCCATGAGTTGAAAAGTAACCTAAGTTTGCTGGCTAGTTGTACATCACCTTGACTCAAGCCAGAGTCATTTAAAAGGAAGGAACCTCAGCTGAGAAAAATGCCTCCAATAAGAACCTGATGTAGGGCTTTTTCTTAAATCAGTGACTGATGGGGGAGGGGAAGGGCCCATCCCATTATAGGTGATGCCATCCCTGGGCTGGTGGTCCTGGATTCTGTAAGAAAGCAGGCTGAGCAAGACATGTAAGCAAACCAGTAAGCAGCATCCCTCGATGGCCTCTCAATCAGCTCCTGCCTCTAGTTTCCTGTCCTGTTTGAGTTCCTATCTTTTTTTTTTTTTTTTTTTTTTTTTTTTTTAAATTTTTGAGACCGGGTTACTGTTATATGGACGTGTGAGTGAAATAAACCCTTTCCTCTCCAGCTTTCTTTTGGCTTTTGGTCATAGTGTTTCATCACAGCAATAGTAACCCTAACTAAGACACAGATACTAATATAGTGAGATCCTTTCTCAGAGAAAAACAAAAAAGACACTTGGCAACATAGTTTTAAAAAAAGAAAGAGAAAGCAATCCTAAGTAAATACAATTTTTTGGATTACTAGAACCTTACCAACAAATTTGAATCTTAATTCATATCTGGATTCTTCTGCCTACAACGGTTCATGCTAAGAAACATTTTACACTCCAGTAAGTGCACCAACTCTGAAGTTACCTGATTACCTCCGTTAGGCCACTGCTACTAACAAGACCATAGTGCTCGATCTGAACTACAATTAACAGTGCCATGTAAACTGACCTCATTTCATATGAACCATTTTAAATAATGGGTATTTTAGCACAAATAGTTTTCAATTCACGCAACTTGCTTTTTAACACTTCCATAAGTAAGACAACTACTAATAACCCTGAGGCTAACTCTCCCTTCTATCTGTTTCGATTAGCTGCTAATGAAGTTGTTAAACACAGAGGTCCTTAACTCTCTCAACTTGACAGATATGTAAGTGCAGGTTCACACCCAGTTTTCTCTTTCAGGAGAAAACTCAGTAAGTCACATGGACACCCAGGGCTTCATGACAAACTAGACTTTGAGTTATATAGTTTCCTCTGACTGTCAGGTACTGCATTAAATACATCAGAGAGTATAATCTGAGCACATTTAAGGTGAGCTAGGCTGAGTTCTGAGGCTGCCAGCACACACCCTGTATAAAGAAGAGCCTGTATCAGTCAATCATGGTTGTTTCTCAGAGATTTCTTTCAATTTTAAGCTCACTTTCTCCCAAGAGCATTCTACTGTCCCAGTGGTAGTAGCAAAGTAAAACAGCATTGACTTACCTTGAGAAGTTCAATGAGCCTGCATAATGCCTTCACTGAGGTTTTGGTCATAGGCTTCTGCATGGACATGTAGAGATTCATTGTGGTTTTAATAATGGTACTAATACTATATGCATATAAGAAGCCCTACAAAAGAAAATAAACAGTGAAATTGCACAGATTTCATGCAGACTTCCTTCTCTATGTATGTATGCATGCCAATAACCAGTATTTCTAGTCTCTCTATTATTTTATGTGTATAGGCATTGTGCCTGCATGTATGTCTGTGCAACACATGCATACAGTGCTTGCAGAGGCCAAAAGTGGGTGCTGATCTCTTGGAACTGGTGATAGGGGCAGTTGTGAGCTTCTAGGATTAAATATGGATCCTCTAGAAAATCAGCTAGTGCTCTTAAGCTCTGAGTCATCTCTCCATTTAAAGTCAATTCTTAGAGAGTAAGAAATACTCTTCCTGACAAAATACCACCTGAGTTTCAAAGCAGTCTTATATATTAGTTTCCTGAACTATCAAATACCAGACATTTACACTGTTAATGCAGTGAATACTGGCTTTCAAAAGTCTTTTCACTTAATTAAAAAAACCTCTTCGGTAAAATGGTATATATGTGCCAGGGACATACCTAGTAACTCATCCTCATCTTAACTGCTGGGAAGAGAACAGATCCCATCTGCTAATACTCAGAGCAGGGAACCAAGGACTATGGAGCCAGAAACTGAAAACTGAGGAGTTACTTCCTTCATGAATACACACAAGGGAACTTCTGAGCACCAAACTACCACCCATGGACATCAGTGGTTCTCAACCTGTGGGTCACAACCCCTACTAGGGTCACATATCAAATACTTATATTACGATTCATAACAGTAGCAAAATTGCAATTATGAGGTAGCAATGAAAATAATGTTATGTCTGCCTGGTGGTCTCCACAACATGAGGAACTGTGTTAAAGGGCCACAGCACTGGGAAGGTTGAGAACCACTGGCCTAGACCAATTTCCACAGTCCATATCTGTCTGTTCATCAGCCTTCTCTCCACGCAGCCCAAGAACAAAAACACATGTTCTCCTCCGTTCTGTTCATGATGGAGCACACAGGTCTTCTGAGGCTTAAAGGGTTTTTACTTTTATTTTTTTATGTTGTTTTTAATGCTTCTAAACTCAGAGAAACAAGAGGAAACAGTAAATAGGATGATGGATGAGGTTATATATTTAAATTTATGTGTATGTGTGCTCGGGTATCTGCAGAGGCCAGAAGAGGTCCTTGGACCTGCAGGAGCTGGAGTCACAGGTGATTGTGAGCAGCCAATGTGGATGATAGAATCTGAACTCAGGTCCTCTGGAAAAGTCACAAGCTCTTTTATCTGCTAGGCCATTTGTTCAGCACCTCGTATGTTCTACATTTAAACCTCCAAAGGATTTAAAACCCTTTATTCATTTTTTTCTTCAATTTCTCTTTAAGATTAAAAACAATATTTTGATCATGTTTTCCCCTCCCCTAGTTCTCCCCAGATCCTCCCCTCTCCTTTCCCACCCAACTTTATGTTCACTCTTCTTCAAATTATAAAAAAAAAAAAAAAAAAAAGAAGCCAAAAAATACTATAGACACACACAAAAAAAACAAAACAACCACAACTATGGAGTGGGCATAGAGCCGGCCCTGAAAACTGATTTTCCTTTTGCCAGCAGGTATGAATACCAAATAGCTTCTTGGCTGGGGGCTGGGGGGGGGTGTCGGGGGGTCTGTGTCCACTTTCCTATCTCAGTGCTGGGACTCCCTCTGGGGAGAAACTGTACAGGTCTTATATGTGGTCCCAGTCTCTGATTCTCCTAGTCTAGTTTCCCCTTTATCAATCCATAACACTACATTCTATTTCCCCTCCTTGGGAGGTCCTCCCACCACCACCACTACCCACCCTTGGTACCTGACCTCTGTGGTTATTCAGACTGTAGAACACATACCACACATTTAAAAGGTAGCATCCAAATGTGAAGAGAAAATATACAGTATTTGTCTTTTAGGGGTCTGGGTTACCTCACCCAGATGATCTTTTTTTCTAGCTCCAATCATTTATCTGCAAATTTCCTTTTTTCCTAACAGCTGAGTAACATTCCATTGTGTAAATATGTACAATTTCATTTCCATTCTTTTGTTGGGGGTCATGTAGGGTATTTCTAATTTGTGGCTATTATGAATAAAGAAGCAATGAACACAGAAGAGCAAACACCTCTGTAGTAAGATGCAGAGTCCTTAGTCCCAAGAGTGGTATAGCGGGATCTTGAGGTAGATCAAGTCCCAGCTTCCTGAGGAACCAGTGATTTTCACAGTGATTATACAAGTCGCACTCCCACCAGCAGTGGATGACTGTTCCCCTCCTGGCAACCTTGCCAGTATGAGCTGCCATTTGGTTTATTGTCTTGGCCATTATGAATGGGTAAGAGAAAATATCCAAGTAGTTTTAATTTCTATTTCCCTGATTTCTAAGGGTGTAGCACTATTTTGTTGGTCAGCCGTCTGTGCCTCATCTTTTGATGATTTTTCTGCTTAGTTCTGTACTCTGTTTAATTGTGTTATTTGTTTTCTTGATACTCAATTTTTAGTTCTTTATATATTTTAGATATTAACTCTCTATCAGATTTATAATTGGTAAAGATGTTTTCCCATTCTTTAGGCTGTCACTTTGCCCAAATGATGGTGTCCTTTGTGGTCCTTTGTGGTTTTCTATCTTTGTGGGGTCCCATTTATTAGTTTCTGGTTTGTGCCTGTGCTATTGGTGTCCTGTCCAGAAAGTTCTACCTGCACCAGTAAGTTCAAGCCTATTCCCACTATCTCTTCTATCAGATTCAGGATAGCTCGTCTTACGTTGAAGTCCTTGATCCACTTGTAGTTGAGTTTTGTGCAGGATAGCAGATATAAATCCATTTTCATCTTTCTACATGCAACCATTGTTTGATCAGCACCATTTGCTGAAGATACGGTCTTTTTTCCAGTGTGTATTTTTGGCTCCTTGTTCAAAAATGAGATATCCATAGCTGTGCTTATGTCTGGGTCTCCAATTTGATTCCATTGATCAATATGTCTGTTTTCATGTCAATGCCATGCCAATGCCATGCTCTGTAATGTAATCTGAAATCTGGGATGGTGATACCTCTGCCAGTTCTTTTATTATTCAGGAGTGTTTTAACTATCTTTAGTTTTTGTGTATCCATATGAAGTTGAAATTGAAGTTTTTTTCAATTTCTGGGAAGAACTGCATTGGAATTTTGGTGGGAATTGCAAAGAATCTAGACTGCTTTGGGTAGAATGGCCATTTTTCACAATGTTAATCCTACGGATCCGTAAGCAGGGGTGGTCTTTCCATCTAGTGTCTTCAATTTCTTCAATGTCTTAAAAGTTTTTATTAAACAAATCTTTCACTTGCTTGGTTAGAGTTATTCCAAGATACATATTTTTTGAGGCTACTGTAAAAGGTACTGTTTTCCTTATTTTTCAGTATGCTTGTTATTTGTAAATAGGAAGATTACTGATTTCTGTGGCTCAATTTTACATCCTGCTACTTTGTTGAAAGTGTTTATCAGCTGTAGGTGGAGTTTTCAGGGTCTTAACTTTGACTCTGTCTTTTCCTATCTGTATCCCTTTGGCCACCTTCAGCTATTTAATTGCTCTAGCTAAAGTACACTGAATAGGTGTGGAGAGAAATCCTTGTCTGATTCCTAGTTAGTGTACATATTTGAGTTTCTCTCCATTTAGATTGATGTTGGCTGTGGGCTTGCTTATTTATTTATTTATTATATTTATTTATATTTATTTATATTGAGGTATGTCCCTTATATCCCTAGTCTCTCCAGACTTTTATCGTGAGAAGGTATTGGATGGTGTCTAATGCCTTTTCTACATCCAATGAGATATCATATGGTTTTTGTCTTTCAGTCTGTCATGTACTGGGTTACATTTGTTGATTTATGCATATTGAACCATCCATGCATTCCTGGGATGAGGCCTACTTGATCATCATGCATAATCTTTTTGATATGTTATATTCAGTTTACAAGTATTTTATTGAGAATTTTTGATCATAAGGGATATGAGTGTATAACTTTCTTTTCTTGTTGGGCCTCTGTGTGGTTTTTTTGTATCAAGGTTATAGTTCTTGTGATTTACTTTATGAATAAGTTGAGGAGTACTGGTATTGATTCTTCTTCAGAGATTTGGTAGAACTCAGTGCTGACTCCTTCTAGCCCTGGTATTTGTTGTTGTTGGGAGAATTTTAATGATGACTTCTTTCACTAGGGGTTACAAGTCTGTCTAAATTGCTTATTTACTTGATTGAACTTTGGTGGGTTGTACAAAACAAAAAATTCATTCATTTCTTTTAGGTTTTCCTATTTGGTGGAATACAGGTTTTTAAAGTATCTCTGATGATTCTCTGAATTTCCTCAGTGTCTGCTGTAATCCCCACCCTGCCTCATGTCTAATTTTATTAATTTGGATTTTCTCTTTCTGTCTTTTGGTTAATTTGGCTAAGTGCCTTCCAGCCTTCTCTCTAACCACATGTGAGAAAGCACTATCCCATGAATAACTATAGCTGACTACCAGAGTGATGGTGCATACTCGGTGACAAAGGCGAGCTTCCCTAAACCACCCAGCACCATATGTGCTAGCTTAGAGGACGGATGCATGTGATGGAAGATAGTGTCCTGAAAAAGTGGCAGGAGACTGAGGCTTATGACATATACAAGTCTTCCCTTGTCAGCTAGAGGATTATCACTTTTGTGCACCACTGGAGAAAGTTAAAAGAAGAACAAGAAACAACAAGCATCTAAGGCAAGCAGGAAAGAGAAGCGCTCCCCTTTTGTGGGAGCCTTGAAGTATGCAATTCCTGGTGCCACTATCAACTTATTCATCTTTCCTGTTGATGATAGAATAATGACGTATTAGGATGACTTTTCCTACTAAGAACCATTAGGAAAGCTAGGTGCCAAGCATCAAAACTCCATGGAAGGCATTAAAGAGCTGGCAAGAATATAAGGGAGAGAGTGGTCGAGAGCTGGGAAGAAGAGAGATTGAGAGCAATGAGGTGACACCTGGAGCTGCTGCTGCTCCCCCATCTGCCCCAGAGGCTTCGGTTCAAAACAGAGGAAAGACAGGAAACAAGGGCACACACTGGCTCATGACTCAATAAAAAGACAAACATGGGGGCTAAGAACATAGCTCTGTGGGCAAAGTGTTCATTATGCAACCACAACGGCCCACGTTCAGATCCATCAGCACCTAGGAAAACAGCTAGACATGGTGGCACTAGTCTATAAATCTAGCCCAGAGAGTCAGGCATCTCTCAATAAGCTTGCTATTCACCTGGTCCAGCTGTAACAGTGAGCTCCAGGATCAGTGGAAGACTGTCTCAAAGAATAAGGTAAAGACATCTAATATTAAACTCTGTCCTCCATGTCCACAGAAGAAAGCAAACCCGCACATGTACACACACATAAACACACAGTGTTCTCTCTCTCTCTCTCTCTCTCTCTCTCTCTCTCTCTCTCTCAGATTGAGGGAAAATACACACTGTTTCCAGGAGATACAATCCCATTTAAGAATCTAGAAAGGCTGCATATAAGGATCAGTAAAGACACCATGTAGACATTAGCTAAAAGAAACACTGTGCAACTGTGTTAACATCACACAAGAGATCTCCCAACAAAAAGCATCACACATAAGGAAGGGGCTACAAGAAGAAAACCCCAAGCATCTCACATGCTCACACATGCTCCAGCTCTGAAATACATTTCCAGTTCCCAAATAGACATTCTTAATGGAAAAATAATTCCATCAGTGGGAAGATAAACAATTCTAAACTGTATGCACTTAGCATCACAATATAAAAAACAAAACCAATGCTGGGCTTTAATCCCAGCACTCCTGAAGCAGAGGCAAGCAGATCTCTGTGAGTTCGAGGCCAGCCTGGACTACAGAGAGAGTTCCAGGACAGCCTCCAAAACAATACAGAGAAATCCTGCCTCGAAAAAAACAAAACAACAAAACCTGATAGAACTATAGATATTATTTGTAGACAAACCCACAAAATAGTGGGACATTCTCACTAAACTCTCAGTAATTAGAGAATATAGACCATCCATTAATAAAATCGTGTCATGTCCAAACACTACAACTGACAAATGCACAATCCACTCTAAACTGCACATGAGATATGTATCAAAGCTGTACAAGCCAGGTATCTGCCAGTTTCAAAATTACCTTAGCTGCTATAAATCAATAATAAAAAGATGACGTAGGGCCCGGCAAGAATGCTCAGTAGGTAAGGGTTGTGGCTGTCAAAACTGACAACCTGAGTTCAAAACCTGGGACCCATGTGGTAGAGGAAAACCAACTTGCACAAGTTATCCTTATTTCCACACTGGTACCCTGGTGCCTTAAGTAAATGTGCACGCACACACATAGGATAAATACATGCAATTTTAAAATACTAAAGATAAAAGAAATCCTCATGTATCTGGAAAGAATGAAGTATTTTTTGTTGTTGTTTTTCAAGACAGGGTTTCTCTGTGTCGCCCTAGCTGTCCTGGAACTTGTTCTGTAGACCAGGCTGGCGAAACTCACAAGAGATCCACCTGCCTCTGCCTCCTAAGTGCTAGGATTAAAGGCGTGCGCCACCACTGCCTGGCTTTGAAGTATTTTTCAAAAACCCCTCAAGGGGCGCTGTCAAAATGGCTTAGCAGTTAAGGGCAGTTGCCAACAAGCCCGATGGCCTGAGTCTGAGGAAGAGAGTGACAACTCCCACAAGTAGCACTCTACCACCACATACACACCCACAACCACACAATACATAAATACATTTAAAAATTTACACTTCAAAGGTAAGTTGCAATGAAAATGTTTCCATATTTGAACCAAAATGATAACTAAAATGCAAAAGTTATAGGATACAGCTAAAAAGTCTTGCTTAAAAGGAAACAGGAAGCTTTGAATGGCTATATTAGAAAAATATAAGTAAGTCATCCAGAACAAATACAAGCTAATCAATTTTTGTGGCTCTTAAAATCTTTTTATTTTAATTTTTAACTGTGTGTGTGTGTGTGTGTGTGTGTGTGTAAGAACAAACATAAATGCAGCTGCCCAAGGACTAGAGGCACTGGATGCCCTAGAGCCGAAGGTACAGCACCATGTAGGTGCTGGGAATCAAACTTGTGTCCTCTGCAAGAGCAGCCAGTGCTCTTACCCACTGAGCTATCTCTCCAGCTGCTCAATTTGTTTTAAATATAAAAATATAACCCCCTTTCACATCTACGTCCAAGTGTAACTTCCATAAATTAAATTCACAAAGAAATTACACTCAAAATACTCTAAGTAAGAAAATGCAACTACCTGTATAAAAACATTACATCTATTGGTGAGGTCTTCAGCAAATTTATCCATCCTTTGCTCTTTAGACAACATAGACTCCATTTTCATCATCCATGAGCTCACAAAGACGTAGTAAGACTGCACATCTCTAGCAAAAGAAAACATTGAGGTTACTCAGAACACAAACAAAAAACATATTTCCATTTCTTCATACTGATAAAGGTAAATGTTCCTTCCAGCAGTAACTGTATGTTTCTGGCCTTCAAAAGAAATCCCATATGCAGATTTAAGTTACTTAACCTACAAGTATTTACTGAGTGCCTATTCAAGCAAGTTCTCTAGTACAAAGAACAAGACAGATAAAACCCCTGGCTCCATGAAGTTTATATTCTAGAAAGGAGAGTTTTATAACAAATCAATTACTAAAGTCAAAGCAATTTAAAAGTGTCTGGTGATACACGCTTTTGGAAGGGGCAGGGTCTGGGATAGTTCTATAATTTCAAATAGGATGATCACAGTAAACTTGTAGTGTGGGTGATTTTGAGCCATGATATGAACCAAATTAATAAGTAGGATGGACAAATATGTAAGAGAAGAGAATTTAAGGAGTGTGAGTAACACGTGCAAAAGCCGTAAGACTTTGGGAAGTGTATCCATCTTGTTTAGGAAATAACAAACACCCAGTACGACTAAAGCACAAAGAGGAGGGGTGCAAGCAGAAAGGCAGATCAGAGGTAGAGGGAGGGTGGGAGAGTGGGGAAGGGACTGGGATGGCTCTGTAGAAGGCATGAACTTCAACTCAAGTCCCTAAGAGAAGCCACTGGAGATGAATGGTCCAGCCTCTAGCTAGTTTTAAGAGGATCACTGTCACTTTTGTCATTGTGAGTATGACAGCCATGAAACAACTGTAGTAATACAAGAGAAAGGACAACATCTTCAATGACAGTAAGAACAGTAGACGCAGGGGCTGGTGGGATACTCAGCAGCTAAGAGCACTTCCCGCTCTTGCAAAGAACCTCAGTTCAGTTCTTACAACTGGAGCTACAACTCAAGCTCCAGGGGATCAAATGCTCTCTTCTGGCCTCTATGGGAACCTATAAGGCACACACAGTCAGACACATATAAAATTTTTTTTTTAATTTAAATTTTTTTTTAAAGTAGAAGTAGCCAGAATTTGAATTTAAAAGCTAATTTGAATGCTTACACTATGCCAATTACTGCTAGGCTGGGTACAAATTAGCTCACTCAAACCCCATATAAACCTTATGTAATTGTTAGAAAACTCAGGCCCTCAGCAGAGGACCCCCCTGCCTGTCACTGGGGGCTGAAAGCATCCTTACTGCCATTCGATTCCCCTGTCCAGATAAAGTAGGCCCTGTCATATACCCAAGTTACAGGTGCCCCGCTCCATTTTCATACATTAACTAAGGCTGCTTCCTCACAACTCAATAACTCCTCTTGCCTTGGAAACTTTTAGAAGTAGACATCCTGCTTTTTCTGACAGGATTATAGTTTCTTACTTCAGGCCCCTGCAGTACTGGCTGCATGTTAATAATTCTCCTGCCTGAAGAACCTTGCAAATCAATGGGCCCCTACCTCTCTCTGCTCCTGCCCACCCTGTGTGTCTCTCACCTTCTTTCTCTCCCTAAAACCCAACTGTAGGGACTATGCTCTCAATTTGACAGAAGATGAAACTGCCACAGGAAGTAGCACGCCCACATCAGACAACTCATAAACAGTGGAGCCAGGATTAAAACCCTAATCTGGGAAACTTTCCCATCACAAGACTCAACAACAAATGCTGATCTTGTCTACTACTGGGGACAATCCCCAGCAGGGAACAAAGGCAACAAGGCAGGACAGGAGGAAGAGAGGAAGGAGAAGGGAGGTAAAGAAACAGGAAAGGAAAGGATTCACTGTGGAATGTTTGGCAGGCATATCACATGTAATCCCCAGCACTCAGGAAACTGAGGCAGGAAAAAAAACAATTCTGAACACGGCAATGCATAATAAAAAGCACTCAATCAGCCTTGGGTCAGACACTGAAGTTTCTTTGGCACAACTGCAAGGAAACTAAAAAACTACCATCCTTCCAGATCATGGAGATCTATACTGACTTTACAGGAATGTCTAAAACAAAGCTTAGGGGAAGCTGGAGTAGTGGTTAAACTCCTTTAAGCCTAGCACTAGACAGGCTGTTGGATCTCTGCTGTGGAATAATCCTTCTGCACACTGTGTGAATATATGTCCCTATGATTGGTTTAATAAACAAGCTGATGGGCCAATGGCTAAACAGGATAAAGTTAGGTGGGAAGCCAAACTCAGAATGATGGGATGAGGAAGGACGGAGTGAGAGGAGTCGCCAGTCAGAGAACAAGTCAGAAACACAAAATGGGATATAGGCAAAAGTCACAAGCCTTGGGGCAGCACACAGATTAATAGAAATGGGTTAACTTGTAAGAGTTAACTAGTATTAAGCTCCCTGCCCTATTGGCAAGCATTTATAATTTATATTAAGCCCCTAAGTGAGATTATTTGAGAGCAGCTGCAGGACAGGGAAACTTCCACCTACAGATCTCTGTGAGTTCAAGGCCACCCTGGTCTATGTGGTGAATTCTAGAACAGCAGGGCTAGGTAGAGATACTGTATTGAGGAAAAAAAAAAAAAAAAAAAAAAAAAACCTTAGGGGGAAAGCGAAGGGGTTTTGAAAAGGGAAACATTCAATCTCTGCCTACTAAAACTTCCTTTGCTCAGCCTGTTGGGCTCACAGTCATCCACACAGCACAACACTAGTGTGCGAGTTCACCAAGTTCACTTCTCTAAGCCCAACTCACCTATCTACAAGAGTCAAGGTGAACAGCTGAGAAAAGCACAGGACACTTCATACTTAAAGAGTTGGACTATGCGGCTCTGCCACCTGCTGTTAAAACTGCAACAAATTTAATCTCTGTACTCTAGGTTTCTCATAAAATGGCAATACCAGGACTATCTACTCCACAGGGTTTTCTTATTTTTTATGGATGAGACAGATGAAGTTTCTGAAAATCCCTGGCTTACAGTAAACACACCATAAAGCTTAGTTGTGTTTATTATTTCTTACCTAAGAATATGGGGCAGGGCTACATGACACAATGTTCTTACAGTCTTTTCATAATGCCTGCTATGACATGAAAAGGTTCACAATGCTTGCAACTACGATGGTCATTATCTGTCATCTTCCCCTTCAAAGTCCCGTTTAGCCTTCAAGAGCCAGAGAGGTCAAATCCACTCCTTCCTGAAGCTGAATGTCTCTTAACATTCAGACACACCACATTTTTTCCTCAGATTTCTCTAAAGGTTGAAGACTCCTTATGGCTTTAGAAGAGAAGGCATGCTTCCCAGTCCCTCTAATATAATCATCCAGCTCGTCTCAAGACACTACAGTTTGTAGCCCTCCTAAGTTCCATCTCGACAGACAGACAGACAGACAGACAGACAGACAGACAGACAGACAGACACACACACACACACACACACACACACACACACACACACACACCCACACACACACAGAATTACCAATATGGAGTCAGGTAAAAATACAAGGGAATTTCTTAGGGAAAAGCCTTACTTACAGAGCGACTTAGCCAGCAAGCGGGGCAACAGTAAGTACAGCAAGCCAAAGATGAAACGGAAGAAGGGAAGCCCATGTGAGCAACCCTCACTCTTAAAACCTTCCCTATGTCACCCTGACCATGCCCTCTCAGGCGTGGTCAGGCACACCTGTAGCCAGCCTCTAGCAGTCATGGCTACAATGTCCCCTACACACACACACACACACACACACACACACAACACACACACGGACCATCCCAACACCAGCTAACCAGCTACAATCTAAAAAGAAGTCAGTGACATTGGGCCCAATGGCACACACCTACAGCCCCAATGCTTGGGAGGCTGAGGCAAGAGGAGTGCCAAATTTTAAGGCCAGCCAGGGCTACAGAGAAAATACCAACCCAGACAGCAAGATACTGTCTTTAAGGGAAAAAGGAATTCAACGAAATTCTGGAAGTACCAACTCCCTTGGTAGAGATAGGTCTGTAACCAGGGCACTACTTGTTAATATGATCCAAGTGTGCACTAGCATTTTAAACAACTCTATCACTGTTTAAAAAAAAAAAATGGTAAGCTTCTATGAATTAAAATATTAACAACTTTCTTTTTTTTTAACATCCCACTACTAAAACCTGGTATCTGTCTTTCTGCTTAAATCCAGTCTTCAATCTTCACGGAAACCTTGTCTCCCCAATTCTGTCTTAGGGCACAGCACTGCTGGTACCTGCCCTGAGCAGACCTGTATAAATCAGTTCTCTTTGTCCACTGACCTATGGTTAACCACAGGACACAAGATTGTGTGTCAGATGGTTTAAGGGCTCTCTGGTATGCTGAATATTAGTCTTCCTCTCCCTTGTGCAGCAGAGGACCAATTTTATCCAATTATCCATTTCTCTTTCTTTTTTGGGGGGGTGGGGGGTGGGGGGGTTCATGTTTCAAGACAGGTTTCTCTCTGTGTAGCCCTGGCTGTCCTGGAATTTGCTCTTGAGACCAGGCTGTGCTCAAACTCACAGGGATCTGCCCGCCTCTGCCTCTGAGTGCTGGAATTAAAGGCGTGCACCTCCATTGCCCTGAACCAATCACCAGTTTCTATTGCAGGTGATAAGATGCATGACCAACACAAGGCCAATGACAGAATCCTGTAGCATTCTAATTAACCAAATCCAGGTTAACATGTTAGCAACATACTCAGAATAGTGAGTTAATTACCAAAGCTGAGTGATAGTTAACATCGATACCTTGTATAATTGTGTCATGCATTACTGAAAAGGTACATTGTAAAAGATTAAAAATACACAAATATAAGGACTGGGGAAAACAGCTTGGTGATAGGAGCACCTGCTTAGGACTGCACGAGGTCCTGGGTTCAATACCTAGTATAACTAAATAAGAGAGTAAAAAGATTAAAAAAAAAGTTGTCTTTCTAGAAGCAGGACTAACTTACAGGAAAGAATTGGGCTAGAGAAAATTACTTTTAAATTTTAGCTTTTGGGACTTTTGGTATCATAAAGCATAAATAAAAAAATAGTTCTAGACTGGGAGATGGCTCAATAGGTAAAGGCACCTGCCACCCAACCTAACAATCTCAGCTGGATACGGGGACCCAAGTAGGCAGGGAAGAGAACACGCAAATCCATACACACATATGTCCTCATACACACAAAATAAATAGTTTTAATTAAAAAAGAAAAATCACAGTTCTTGAAAAATCAATCTGGGGGCTAGAAAAACAGCTCACTGGTAGAACTTGCCACATAAGCCTGAGGACCAGAGACTGGATCCAAGCACTCACCACCCACGGTAGAAGACAAGAATCAACTCCTGCAAGCTGTCCTCTGTCTTAATAAATAAATAAATGTTTAAAAATGTTTTTTTAGAAAAAGACGCAATCTGGAGACTGTACAAGGTGGTCTGTTCCTATGCATACTTCATCTTGTGACTCAAGTATTTTCACCAGACGATATCAAACATTCCCTTTACAGTTGCTTTATAAAACTTACTTGGTAAGTGACTGGGCTTTCTGCTGCAGGAAAGTATCTCTATGTATTTTAATGGCTTGAAGACTTTTTCTGTCTACAAGTTTGGCAGCTGCTGGCATTTTATGAATCAGAAAATTATCAGGAAACCAAATAATATTGGCAGTTAAAGTGATGGCTGGCACCTGAAATGAAGGTAAAAGGGAAAATCATAGAATGCAGGCCCAATGTACTGGATAGTGCTACAATACACAGCGAAGACAGTTCAGGAAAATAACTACCAAAATCCCAATATATTACAAGGCACATATCTTTTCCCCCAAGTGTCTTATTGTAGAAAGAATGAAAACATTCCCACGGCTGGTCATGAGCACACTTTATTCTAAGTATTAACACACACACAGATTTCACAATAATTAATAATATATAGTAAGCAAAATGAAATTCAACCCTCCATGACTTTATTGTCAGGGCATAGTAATAAAATAATAGAAGACAACAACCTTAAAGACAGCTAAGGCTTCATGGTCTGTTATTATTTGATAGCACTATACACAAACTAAGTTTCAACTCTGAAACCAAGTCATAGCATGGAAACAGCAAAAAGGAAAATCAACAATGTGAAATGTTTCTACTTTACTGGTAAGAATGGGGGTGAGGGCAAGAGGAGAAAGCAAAAGGAAGAGGGAGGCAGAGTCATGTGAGGAGTGTAACCAGGGCATGGGGTGCATTTCTATAATGCTATCACTCAGGAGACTGAGGCCAGCCTGCACTACATAGCAAGACCTCGTCTCAGAAATAAAGCAAACAAAAAATTAATGCATACACACACACAAACTTAGAACATCCACCACACATACATTCATATGAAATGCAGTTATTTTCATTTACCATATTGCTCATTTCAAGAATGTTTACGCTCTAAAACAGTATCATTGCTTTTATTTTTGCATGTATCTATGGTGTGCATGCATGCCTTTTCATGTGTGTGGGTACACACGTGCATTGAAGCTCATGGTTGACACTAGGAGTCTCCCTCTATTGTTCTCCACTTTATTCATCCAGAGTTCTATGACACATGCTAATTACTATTACTAGCTCAGAAGATACCATCTCTGCCTTCCCAGCATTGGACAGAAGGCGGGCTGCCATACCTCATGTCATGCTTACATGACATTTACATGAGTTCTACCTGAACTCCAATCCTCACAATGTATTGCAAGCACCAATTCATGACACCACGGCCCCAGCTCTTTTTTTTTTTTTTTTTTTACAGTTACACTTCATAAAAGTTAACTTGTTCTTTTTTTAATTAACTTTTTGTTAGCACTTTTAGATATCTAGCTTTATCAAAATTTACATCACAAATTGAAAATTAAAAGTTTCAAGTTCTTACCTTCTTACAAATGTCCAATAAAGACTTATAAAACTTTTTATCAACAGTTCGAAAAATCTGAAAGTGCAGTACAAAGAGCCCACAAATTCCAACATACTTGTCTCTCTGGTCAATTTCAGAAGGTTCACCTTAGAAATAACAATATAAAAACAGAACTATAGTTGAACTGTGCTTTTAAGGAAATGAAAACTTGATAAATAACTCAAACTTGAAATTTACATTACCAAGTTTGGCTTCCACGTTTGCAAAAATTGAGCGAATACTATGTGCAAATTCTTCTGCAAAAGTACTATTTTTCGACACAGATATTCCTCCATTGAGAGAATCAAACTGCTGTTCAATACAGGCCTAGCAAGAAACATTTGAAGAGAAATTCAAACTCTCAAAAGAAACCACCAAACACCTCAGTAAGATGAACTGTTTTTGTACTCATTTTAACTACAAATCTGGTCTCATGTTCTTTAATATAGAAATCCTTTGATGGACATTCTTTTTAAGTTTTTATTCAGTATACAAATAGTCACTAAATGTTTGTACAGAGGCAACTGAATATAAGGTGGTAAACAGAAGCATAAAAGTTTTATCAGTGTTGCTTTATTCATGTTTTACAGTGTGAGTGAGTGAGTGAGTGACATTACATGGCACTCAAACCCCAACTGAAGAGCTTAGAGTGAGGCTCAGAGATGAATGGAAGGAATCACTGCTGACGTATTAGAAATACCCCCCCCCCCCCGAAAGGGTCTATGTAGCCTTGGCTTTCCTAGAACCCATTATGTAGAGCAGGCTGGCCTCGAACTCAAAGATCTGTCTACCTCTGCCTCCCAAATGCTGGGATTAACAGTGTGTTCCACTACACCCAGCTGCAAGCATTTTTAAAATTTTGTATGAATGAGTGGTTTGTCTGCATGTATGTCTCTGCACTACATGCATTAAGTGCCTATGGAGGCCAGAAGAAGGTGTCAGATACCTGCAACTGGAGTTACTGATGGTTGTGAGTCACCATATGGGTGTTAGGATCAAACCTAGGTCCTCTTCAAGCAGTACTCAACTGCTGAGTCATCTTTCCAGCTGCAACATCTTTTTTAAAACATCCATCCGTCCATCCATCGATTGCAGTTACTCTCTTAGCATTTCTCATCTATCTATCTACTTATTTACTCCAGTTACCTTCTTAACATTTCTCTCCCTACCCTCCCTTTTGATCAGGGTCTCACTCTGTAGCCTCAGCTGTCCTCAAATTTTTGACAATCGTGCTTGAATTTCCCAAGTGCTAGGAGATAATGGGCATGAGCCACAATGCCCAGCTCCTAGCATACTCTATGTGTAGAGGTGTCCCCAGGGGAAAAAAAAAGCAAAAATAATTACATTTTACATCTAAGAGATTAATAAATCCATTTTAAAAACCAAGCACTGGGGCCAATCTGTTAAAACTGTTATAATGTAAAACTAGACATAACTGAAGCAGACAGAACAGAAGGCAGTATCATTGCTGGCAGGACACCACCCATCAGTATGGTAGTCTTTCTGTGATGAAGACAAGATACCACCTCTGTGTTATCGATACAATGAAGAACTAAGAAGTGGTATGTCTAACTGATTTTAGTGCCTTACAGTTTAGATGGTGTCCTATTTGTGCACATTCCCTGAGTGTAGAAGAACCAACTGAGCTTTTGTGTTGTTTTGCTTTGGATTTTGATTTGTGCCTTGCAGGTCTAGGGATTAAATCTACGACCCCCAGCACATCACTCAACTGCATTCCCAGCACTTCATTATTTTTTAACCTTAAAAATCTAAATCCAAGGTGGGTGGTGGTGGTGCACACCTTTAATCCCAGCACTTGGGAGGCAGAGGCAGGCAGATCTTTGTGAGATCGAGGTCAGCCTGGTCTAAAAAGCTACACAGAGAAATCCTGTCTCAGAAGAAAAACAAAACCCACTAAATCCATAAGCGAGTAACAAACTAAATATTGAATGCAAATGATGATGTCTTAGACTTTAAAATCCTTGAATTTTTGTCTATATTTTCGAGATGGGGTCTAATTATGTATCTCAAGGTGACCTAGAATTCACTTTGTACCCCAGGCTGGCCTTGATGCCTTGGATAGCTTCCTGTATACTAGGATTCTGTTTAACTCAGTTTTAAGTTTTTGCATAATTTAATTTTAAAAAACCCTCATTATAAGTAACTTTTCATTTCATTTACTATTAGATACTGAGCCATACTTTACTAATATTTGTTATACTAATAACAAATATTTTAATAAGACAAAGCCCTTTCTACAGAAAAGGAATTCAAAAGTATTCTACAAAAGCATTCCACTGTAATTCTGAGCTGTACCAACCTTCACTTACCTGGAATATCATTCCATCAAATAACTGCCCTTCCAGCTTCAGCAAGAACTTTTCAAATGGCTTCAATTTTTCTTCCTGAATCCCAAATTTTGAAGGGTTGTGATGGACAGACTTCAGCAACCTTGTAAGAGATAAAAAGAAAAATCTTACAACTATCTAATAAATTCTTAAAAGCTAAAATATTCCAGGAAGTAAAGTTTTGTATTTACTATTTCTACTCAGCTATCCACACTGTAAAACATGAATAAAGCAACACTGATAAAACTTTTATGCTTCTGTTTACCACCTTATATTCAGTTGCCTCTGTACAAACATTTAGTGACTATTTGTATACTGAATAAAAACTTAAAAAGAATGTCCCAGGGTACGTAATGAAATGAAATGAAATACAAGGCAAAAGCTTTCACTTGAATAGAACCCAATGAAAACAAATCGTACCCATTCTACAAGCCTTTAGGAATGCTTATATGTACCACTCTCACCGAAACCAATCTAAAATGGGGCAGGGAGTCTTCACGACAGGGCAGGAGAAATAGTTCAGTGATTCAGAATTAAGCTGCTCTTGCAGAGGAAACCCGTGTCCGGTTCCCAGCACCCATATCAGGTGACTCATAACAGCCTCTGACTCTGGCTTCTAGGGAATCCAACTCCCTCTCTAAGCACACAGACCCATGTACAGACACATGGACAAAGGCAGACATAAACACATATACACAAATAAAAGTAAATACTGGAAATAATCCCTTTTCAATATAAATCCCTAGATCTTAGTAAGAATCTGAATAATTTGTATTTGTTTAGTTTTTACCAAAACTAATATATCAGCTGTACAAACTATTAAAACTATTTTAGCTGGCATACCTTTTGTACATAGTCCAGTGGTCTTTCAGTGTGACATGATTATCAATAATTTCATCCAGGGTAAGTAAAACTGTTAGCAGTTCTCCCAAGTGCTCATACATAGTCTGTCAAAAAACCTTTAATGATTATCATTTAGTCACTAGTTAGAAGTTTCATGTGAACTTTTAAAGTAAAATACATTTGGGTTAATTATTAAATTAGTGAAAGGAGGCATCTATTGATTTATTAATTACAGATCTGAGCCTCAAATGGTACTAGCCTAAACAGAGTTTGTTTTACCTAATATTCTTCCTTAATTGCGATGCTGCAGATTTGTTCAATGGCAACAGAAAATCTGCAGTGGAACACTACCTGGAAAAACTATGCCTACACACAGACAGGAACACAAAAACAGGAATGGGGATGCTAGCATTATTATACTTCCTATCATACAAATTACAAAACAGAATAGAAAAAATTAACTTTTACCTGAAAATGAACTCCAGTTGTCTCTATAATTTTGGGTCCTATCCTGTATAAAATAATACCCAAGTTACCAGAAAAAACAACAACAACAAAACCTTTTATGTTCACATTCTGTTCTAAATTCAAGAAATCAATATAGGAGCAGAAACTATGAACTGTAATATGTATTTATCTTAAAGTAGCAGGCACATGCCAAATCTATGTCTTGGCTACCCCTGCTGTACTCCACTCATGGGTAAAGACATCTGACAACTGGCAAGTGAATAACCTGAGTTTTTAACTAAAGGATGTGCCTTGGCATAAAGTAGAGGAAACAAACTTGATGAATTATTAGAATTTCTCAGTTACCAACTATAATCCTTTTACCCTATCAGAACAGGAGCTTGGAAAAAGGTCCTTAAGAGCAAGTCAAACTCCTTAAGTTCTCATCCTGCTGAGAAGCAATGCATCACACTTCTAGGGTTATACCATACTTACTTCCTACTCAACTTACTCAATAAATGTAGTACTTACGTATCAAACCACACAGAATGCATTTAAAATTTTTAAAAAGCCTTCAAATATTACCTTTCTACAGCAGGACTGAGGAAGAGAGTCCTCAGAATTCAATCCCAGGCATTGCAATGAGTGTGGGGTGTGGGGCTACCACTCATTTGTGGGTAGTGAAGGTTGTGGAGTTACCACTCATCTGCATTGAGTGTGGGGGTGTAATACCACTCATCTGCATTGAGTGTGGGGGTGTGGTACCACTCATCTGCATTGAGTGTGAGGGTGTAATACCACTCATCTGCATTGAGTGTGGGGGTGTAATACCACTCATCTGCATTGAGTGTGGGGGTGTGGTACCACTAATTTGCATTGAGGGTAGTGGTGTGGGGGCTAGGGTTACCACTCATTTGCTACTCACACAATGATCACTTTGGTGAAGAGCTAGACTACATAAAAACACCAAATTGATCCAAAGTCCATGAGAGTGAAATGATAAATGTACTCTACCCACTTATAGAGCACAGCATGGTACAGCATGGTACAGTAGAACAACAAATGGACTGGTGGGTGACCACTAAAAATAGTATCAAAGCTGCCATGAGATCTTGGTAATGCTACCTCTGGACCTTGGCTCTTATTAAAGTGTGAGGCATATCCCTCAACAGTGGTATACTAGATGTAAAAAAATTAATATAAAGAACTGATGGAATATTAGATATAATCTACGGTGATAAGAACAGCAAAGGCACTATGAAAATTTGATCAGTTTTCTTGATTTAGGGTAGATCTACAAATGGAAGATCATTCGAATTTTAAGTTCTTTTTCAGTATAGACACTGGTCCATCACCAAGAGTGCATGGTTTAAGAAAAGTCACATGACCACTAAATGTAGGCAAGAAAAAATACCTTCTGTGTGTGAACTAATACTATACCAGCTTTTTTCTATCCTGAAATGCCTTTAAAATTTTTTGGCCAACATTCTCAGCCAGACAGAAACCAGGTTCATGAACTTAGTGATAACTGCATCTCATTAGTCTATACACACACATTTAAGGATCTCCAGCAGGATCTAAACATCCTAAGCATATATACTGAGTAAATAAATGAATAAAAGCTATTTCAAGCCAGACTGTGGTGGTGCACGCTTTTAATCCCAGCACTCAAGAGGCAGTCAGGTGGATCTCTGTGAGTTCCAGGCCAGCCTGATCTACAGAGCGAGTCCCAGGACAGGCTCCAAAGCTATAGAGAAACCCTGTCTCAAAAAAATAAAAAAATAAAAATAAAAATAAAACAAGCTATTTCAAATAATTACTTTTCCAAAACAATTCTAAAGTGTATTACTTGTTGCTGATATACAGAGCAGCCAGCTGATGAATTACGTTCATCACCACCTCATAGCACCTCGTGACAAAACAGGACAGCTCCTAGAATGAAAAAGGAGTACACATTACAGGGCTTCTCTTTAAAAGTCAGGATGTTTGGGCTGAGTGTTCTAACAACCCCAGCAGTTTCCAGTAAAAGTCCCAGTTACCCAGCAGCCAGACTAAGAAGCCCTCAAACAATCAACACTTCTCTCACCTCTAGCACAAGGGTCACTGCTACCTCGGCTACTCCTGCATTTCATTCTCTCACTTCTAGCACAAGGGTGGGTCATTGCCACCTTGGCTACCCTGCATTTCACTATCTCAGTCTAGTCTACTGTTTCAGTGACTCATGCAGCTCCTAAATGGCAGGGACAGTTCACCCCTTCCCTGCAAATGAATAAAGATCTAAATGAATGAAAATGGTTTCCAGTTTAGAAGTGTAACACAGACAGAAAGCAATCTCCACTAGTCACAAAATCACTTCATTTGTTATCTTTAATCACATACATGTAGCGTGGTATACACCAAGTGAAATATCACTTACCCCAAAGATTTTTATCAATAATCACGAATTCAGATCTATGATGCCCAAACCTGAATATTTCTTTACAGAAGCTCTCAACTTTTAACCGTATAGAACCAATTTCCATCTAAACTACTTAAACCCTTATTAAATCTTCATCTATTCTACATTGTAAGCTCTGAACAAGAGTTTTCATTGCTTCTATGTGCTGGTCTCCTCCCAGTACCAAGAGGAGTTTCATACCCATGTGCATAGTAAACACACATACACATACATACACAGCTACATACAGAAACACACACACACACACACACACACACACACACACACACGAGATCGCGCACACTCACAACTCATTAAATACATTAGATGAACTCTAAACAGTGAACGTTTTACAGTTATTAGAAAGACCCAAACATAATTTGAAGTCTTTAAAAGTAAAAATACTGCGCAATTTCAAAAAACAAAACAAAAAACAGATTTTTGATACATAAACCAGACGAGTCTTCAACTCAGGATCCTAACTCAGCCTTCTCAGTGCATGGAGTACTAGGATCTATGTGCCAAATAACATTTTATTTTCAAACAACTCATCTTACATTTGTTATTAAACTTCTGAAGGTTAAATGATAGCAGGAAAATAAAAACGCAAAGCACAGCAAAAAGGCAGAAATAGTGCAGATATAGAAAGATTCTGTAAGACAGAAATAGAATGAATCAATTAAAAGATTGTCAAATAGTAAGAAAAGCAAAATCCAGATACACCCATTTGCTGCTGTCCCTCAGACACTTGAGAAGCATCATTAGCTGTTTTACAGACACTAGAGTCTCTTGGACAATCAATATGGCCAGAGTGCAACTAAACAAAGTTCCTGTGTGAGCAAGCCTATGTTAATTCTCCTGCTCTGTGTGTGTGTGTGTGTGTGTGTGTGTGTGTGTGTGTGTGTGTGTGTGTGTGTGTGTGTGTGTTATGTGTGTGTGCTTGTGTGTGTGTATATATGTGTATGTGTTTGTATGTGCGTGCGTGCGTGCATGCGTGCGTGCATGTGTGTAGATATGCACATAGAGGCCAAAGACATCAGATCCCCAGAGATGAAATTACATTATTTGTGAGACCCAATATCAGTATAAGGACCTGATATAAGTATTTTAGCCATCTCTCCAGCCCCCCAAAACATTTTTAAATTAAAAAAAAAAAGAGGGTAAGTTGTCCATAAATGAAATTATACAAAGACAATCTATTAAAACAATTTTAAACAACTGTTCACATCTCTTGATACTTTATTCACCTAAAATCCCTTAGAAACCATATGGGAGTTCTGATCTACACTGTAACCTGCTAAGTAACTGCTAAGTAACTGTTTCACTCTCTCAGTACACAAGTCCTCAGTATTGAACAGTTCAGAACTTTTCAATCACATGGAATTTTTATGCAAAATTGTAAAGAGAAGACTCAGCCAGGCACAGTGATGCACACCTTTAATCTCAGAATGTGAAGAGGCTAAGGCAGGTAAATCTCTTATAAATCTGATGCCAGCCTGGGCTACATGGGGAGATCCAGTACAGCCAAGACTACCAATTAAGACCCTGTCTCAAATAAATAAATAAATAAATAAATAAATAAATAAATGGCTCGAATGGCTCAAGAGGAAGAAAAAAAAAAAAAAAAGCAGTCACCTGTAAGAATGAAACAAATCTTCCCATCTGAATCTGGCAGTCACCTTCCACCATACTGGAATCTGTAGCTTTAAAAAGCATCATCATTTTTATTTCAAGTTTTTATTTAAATTCAGCAACAAAGAAACAGTTCTTTCACTACTGCACAGTACCCAAAACACTGGACTTTTACACTCAAGGGAAAAATGACACAGTCATAGTCATAAACTATGTACACCTTCAAACAGCCACACCTCACTGCCAAGTGAACCCCAAAACTGGTCCAGTCACAGGACTTTCTCACTCATGAAATACCAAATACCAGTTCTAAATAATTTGCTGACACTACTCCATTTTTCACTTGTTTAACCAAACCAGTGAACCAATGAAAAAACTGAATGTCAGGTCTGGAGAGATGGCTCAGCAGTTAAAAGCACTGGTTGCTCTTCCAGAGGACAGGAACTTTGGTTCTCAGCACCCACATAGGGAGGCTCCTATGGCCACCCCCACACACAAAATATTTAAAAATTTTTTTAATGCAAGGGATGGAGAGATGGCTCATAGGTTAATAATACTGGCTGATCTTCCAGAAGTCCTAAGTTCAATTCCTAGCACCCACATGGTGGCTCATCTGTAATGAGATCTGGTGCCCCCTTCTGGCCTGCAGAGATATAAACAGGCAGAACACTGTATATAAATAAATCTTTTTTAAAATGTTTTGAACGCTTGTTTTTCTGCACATTCTGTAATTATGCTAGTTAAAGAATAGTGTTAGCATTTTGTTCACTTCAGTTTCATAAAAGGTAGCAACATGCAATTCTAAAATGTTAACTTACCTCCTTCACCATAAAACAAAAGACCATTGTAAAACTTAGTTTCAGCCTGTTTTAAAGAAAATTAAAATAATTTAAAAGGTTGCTTTCAGATCCTATGCTCTCTTAGTTCTCTAATAACATGATACTGTATCTTTTACATATAAATTTCAAAAATTGCTTTCAATGAAGATAAGTACTGACGACTAACAGCTAAGCCCGATCCTTTCAGCTTTAATGTCATCAATGACCACCCTTGTTATCATACATCTTCCCACCGCTCAGCCAGCAGTCAGAGAACATAAAAAAGGGGAGGGGAAAATTGATGGCGTTCACTAATGTCTACCTAAATTCAATGACTCCAAATCCATATTTAAAAAAAACTTAAACATGGAGGAAAAAAAAGTGGGAGTGGTGGCGCACACCTTTAATCCTAGCACTCACTCTGTGAGTTCAAGGCCAGCCCGGTCTACAAAGCAAGTTCCAGGTACCTCTGGATAGCCAGCACAACCAGGCATGCTGCTACTCTGGAGGTATGGAGACGTAGATTCAAACTGTTTCTATTACTGATACCCGCTGTTAGCCCCAATTTCTTCACCTGCTCCTGACCTGCAGCCCTCATCCTAAGCATTACAAGGTAATTAAGGACTCAAGGAATGCCAGGATTATTCTAACTCCTTACTGTTAGGGTTGCAATTATTTTAAGTGGGTCAGTATTTACTGCACACTGCACAAATATAAGCGTAAATCTGCTTTTAAATGACCTTAAAGAATATAAACAATTACCTCATATTTTAATTTCTTGATCTCACAACAAAGTGCAGCATAAACAGTGATGACTTTGTTTAAGACCTGGTTTCATAAATAAAAACAGAAAAAAGTAAACTGTAACCAATGAGATCATTTTTTGAATGCACTTTAGGTTTAGGATAACATACCTTGTTTTCAGTCTTTATGAGTTCCAAAAGGGAGGACTGCTCATATGGCAGAAGCTACAGAAACAAAGGAAAAGAACATCTCTTAATATGGGGGGAGTGGGGGAGATCACTGAAAATAAACATAAAATGAGATTAAACGGATTACAGTTAAACTTGTATTAGACACTATATTCAGCATTAGTATCAACTATGACATTTCATATCATCTCAGCAAAGGAAGCAAAGTACAATACACCAGAGGACAAACAATCTCCACACACACAATGTACTCTGATAGTCCCAGCTGTGCTCCAAGGCAGACGGTGGCTGACAGTGGGATATAATGAGAAACAGATTACTAAGAGTGGGCTCTATCCTTTTGGAAAATGTTATGCAAGCATACACTTAATAAGATGTTATAACTTTTTAAAAGGGTCAAACTTCAATTGTTACAAAACCAAATACAGTGTGGGCACTTTTGCTATCTAATGTAGCTTCATTTCTACCTGACTCATAAAGCTTTTCTCATTTTATTATCTAAAATGAATTGTTTATTAAGTGTAAAAACTGGACCTTTCTTTAAGTTACATATTAAACAAACTATATAAATTAAAAATAACTTCTCTCATTTAATTTCTAATTTCTATTTATAGAGATCTTATTGGAATCTATGACTCTTGCAGAGTAGGAACACAAAATAATGTCCCAATAAAGTGACTAAGGAAAAGTGCCAACATAAGTGGGGAGGGAGGGAAGGGCTGAGTAAGAGGATGACATATAAAGAAATTTGAAAGTTTCTATTGATGGAAAGCTGAGACAGTCTCATTCTTTCACAAAACCATGAGCTATCATCTCACATCCACTAGGATAGCTGGGGTTTTTTTGTTTTTTTTTTTAAAGATTTATTTATTTATTATGTATACAGTGCTCTGTCTATATGCATGCAGGCCAGAAGAGGGCACCAGATCTCATTACAGATGATTGTGAGCCACCATGTGGTTGCTGGGAATTGAACTCAGGACCTCTGGAAGAGCAGTCAGTGTTCTTAACCCGAGCCATCTCTCCAGCCCAATAGCTGTGATTTTAAAAGACAGATAATAACAAACTTTGGCAATGATGTAGAGAAACCCTAACCTACATATTACTGATAGGGATATAAAATAGTGTGGTCCATCAGGAAAAAGATGAGAAATGGGTCAGCAAAAGAGCTCAACAGATAAAGGCACTTGTTACCAAGCCAAGTGATCTGAGTTCAATGACCAGAACCCGTATGGAAGAGAAGAACCAACTCCTACAAGTTGTACTGTCTCTCCATACACACCATGGTACAGCTCATGCACACACATGCACGCGCACTCAAGATACACGCACGCACAACTAAAATAAAATCCTCAGAAAGTTAAACATAAGACACATAAGTAGCATTACTTCTAATAACCAAAAGTAGAAAACCTAAATGTCTATCCACTAGAGAATGGATAGCTATGTGACATAAGGGTTCCATAAAACAGAACACACCATTTATCAATTTAAAAAATACGTATGTATTAACATATGTATTAACATTGGCTGTATCACAGATGAGCTTTCAAAACATGGTTAAGTGAAATTCAAGGCACAAATGCTCACATACTACATGATCTCATTCATATGAAACATGTAATGAAGACAAATCCAGAGAAACATGCAGTGAACCGACAGGTGGCCTGTAACTTGTTGGGAGCACATTCCCCCATGGAGGGATACTCTCTCAGCCTAAATACATGGGGGAGGGCCTATGCCCTGCCCTAAAAGGCATGACAGACTTTGATGGTGCCCCATGGAAAGCCTCACTCTCCCTGGGGAGTAGCTGGGGATGGAATGGGGAGCATGGGAATAGGAGAGGGAGAGGGAACTGGGATTGATATGTAAAATAAGATTGTTTCTAATTTAAATTAATAAAAAATTCATTTAAAAAAAACCAGTAAATTGTACAATTTAAATGGGTAAACTACAGTCAAGTACTATGTCTCACGCCTGTAATTCTAGCATTCAAGAAGTTGAAGGAGGAGGACTCTGAGTTTGGGGCCAGCTGGGCCACACAGTGAGTCCCTGGCCAGCCAAGGCTATCTAGTGAAACCATATCCCAAAACACACACAAAAAAAGAAGAACTGTATTATCTATGAGTTACATCTCAAAAAAGAAAAGCTAATGTACAACTTAGGACAGTGGTTGGCACAGGAGTGCTCAATATATGTTATCAACCTCTTAGAGGTGACAGACCACTGCCTTAAAGTAGAATATACTAAGAGTATCTTATTTATATACATTAAAAAAGCATTCCCAGGGCTGGAAAGACAGCTCAGCAATTAAGAGCACTGGCTGCTCTTCCCAAGTACACCGTATTTTTTTTTAAATGAAATGAAATCATACCTTTAATGCTATAGGATCAAGATTGAAATCCCAAACATCTCCAATCAAGTCATCCAGTGCGTCCTCAATTCTTCTCAACTGAGATGTATACTCCTCAAGGAATTTCCCATAATTCTTAAGCTGGACTTCAGCATGAATTTCTGAATTAAAAAAGAATGTTACAATTATAAATAGTGAACGGCAGAACACTAACTTCAAGTAATATCAAAAACTGCAGCAAAACATGGTTATTATTTTGGAGTGCCTCACTTCTTAGAAATAAAGTTCCAAAGTTAAAGAGTCATTCGGCTTTGAATTTTCTCAAAATATGTTAAAGTACTTGGAAACCTGCAGTCCCTCACCTTAGGTTTCTAACCAGCCTGAGCCTCAGACAACTCAGGTCTAGAAGCTGTACTATCTTTTTAGTCACACACAACTCTGTTGCAAAGGATATCAACTACCTGATGAGAAGCCAAACTCTGTTGTTACAGAATAAGGTTTAAAGGTTGATTAATTCTATACATAGTAAAATGTTTAAAGAATACATCCAAATCTTTTTTACATGGAAGTTTTAGACCTGCTACATTATATTATTATTTCTATAATTCCCAGCTTACCAAAATGCTTTACTTGTTCAAATATTTAGCTATTATAATCAAGATGCAAAAGCCAAATAAAACATACTGGCTGACAGGGGCTGGAGAGATAGCTTATTAAGAGCATTGGCTCTTCTAGAGGACTGAGGTTCATTCTGAAGCCTATTCACCAAAATTAATAAGCATTCCATCTTATACCTAAGAATTCATTACTTATTCCAAAAAAATCAACTCCAATTCAGTGTCTTTTACTGACATATATATATAAAACTTTGTTCATCTTTGTCTTCTAAAATAAACTATGTTCTGACTCACACTGTATGAAATATAGACACCTGTCCTTTATTTTGTAACTAAGGCTCCGAGTCACGGGAATCAATTCAGTTCACTAAGACTTCTGTCTCATTATAGAACTCATTTAGTTAATTTTGGAAAACAATTAATCTAGATATGATTCACAGTCCAAAAACTAATGAGAACCAGGCACAGAGAAATCTCTTACCTACAGCTAACAATCCCACGTTAATGTCTTACTCTATTACACAGGAAATGACCAAAGTATCATTTGACCAGCAAATGGGTTCTTAAAGACTATACTAGAAAAACATGCTCATAGATCACCTGGTTAGACCAAGGTAAAAAAAAAAAAAAAATGGAAAACCTGTAGAAACACTGGGGTTCCTTGCTGATAAGATAGCAAATAGCTGTGAACTCATAAAAGTTAAAGTGTGTAGCACACTTCCTTCCACACAAACTACTTTTCTTACTACTTTTTAAGTTGGGATACACAGTTATGGTTTTCATCATGGCATTTTTCACACGTGTGCTTATATTGTGTCCTCATCCATACTCCCTTTCCCCAGTCCTGTTTTCCCCAACCTTCTAGAGTCTAAAAAAAGGAGGGCCCACGTATTATTATGATTAACTGGTCAATCATTCTACTTCAAGCTGTAACACAGACCCAATATACCTTCACTCCAACTTTGGTCAGATGCAAAAAAACAAAAAACCAAAACTACAAAAAAGAAAAATGGTTATTATCCTTCCACCCAGGTCTTTATGATGACCTTAAGAAACGTTTGTGGAAAAACTGCACAGCACCCTGACATAGCTCGACTGGAATGTAGAAGCAAATAAAACCTAAGTACATATAAATCTGTACATTCTATGCTCTCTATTGACAGTTCAGCAGTAATTTTTTTAATGGCATCCTACTTTGGGGAAAGACATGCATCTAAAAAAATTCTCAAACAACCTGCCCCAATTTCTCTTCTATCACACAAAAATATGACCAACCTCAAGAGTTTCTCTACTATAACTAGGTTGGCTTGTCCTTTTTGCTGAAACAAACTGTAAGGCTTCTGGGTTGGACCTCTGATTTTAAAATTAAAATCGGACGATTTCATGAAGCAACTGCAAAGCAGATCTGATAAGAAAATAATAAATTAAATTTTAAAATACTTTTCAGCTGCAATGACAATTACAGGAGGTTTTTAAAAACCACCTAAAATCAATAGAAGGCCTAGAGGGGACAAGATGATAGTCCCATTTTGATTGATGTTTTTGTTTTTGTTTTCTAGTGCCAGGAAGAGCTGTTTTCGCTATATTCTGTGGTTCTAAGAATGTGCACCCTAACTTCAAAAGTTGGTTTGAGAAGCAAAGAAAAACAGGAAGCCGAAACAGAAACCCAGACTCTTCTAGAGCTCAACTGAAGGCTCAGC